ATTCTGGCAAATGACCGGAAGTTGCGTTTCCGGAAGCATGAAATATGCACTGTCAGCAAAATTTCAACTTTCGAATTTTTCAAATCTGATGATACTATCGAAAAGAAAATGGAAAACTGAGCAAAAAAATTTAAAGGAGCAATGTGATCTGTCCTATAAGCAAAGAGTTATGGCTTTGGAAACTTTTCGTTTTGTCAAACAAATTGCTTTCTCGAGTTTCCTGATAGTGCAGACGCATAGCAGTAAAATTGTGCATGTTATAATAATAGCATGAAATTTGGTACAAGTACACAATCGGCTTATTGTAATTTGCGAAATTTCGCCGAAATTTCGTACGAAATTTCGTTACATGAAATCCACCTTTTATACCTGAAATCGAAGCATAAACCAATTGAAAGTGATATATAAACCTTACATTCCTTGTCTACCATCATAAGAACGCATATTTATTGCATTAAAGCGACATGTTTCTTCTCAGTCTCCAGCGGTAGAAGCCATGCTTTCCGAGCCCGTCCCAAAGAAGACGGGGGTCTAGTACATAGTATCTGGTTAGCGAGACACAACGTCAATGCCGCTGTGACTGCAACAGAGGAGACAAAGTGTAATGAACAATTAGACTGTCATTTGCGAATGCAACCTTTCAATCGTTCCAAAATTATCAACAAAGTATTTACGAGAGGTCTGTCCAAAATAAATTTTTGCAGTGGAAAACAGCTTAAGTCATATTGTATGCTTATTTTAGTTAGAATTAGGATCCAAAAGATTACCATGATCCACGGGAGAATCAAATATAGCAAAGTCCTCGCTTTAAACTGCGTTTTAAAAAATTAGTAATTTGCGAAATTTCGCAAAATACAGTTTTTTTACAACTTCTCAAATGGGGCCGTATCGACATAAATCACGTCAGTAGGGTATGATGTGTCTACAAAATGAAGGAACAAGTCGCCATTGCCATTAACAATGTATGCCCTGTTGCTGTTTAGTCCTGCTTTAGAGATTTTAGGTTCGACTCTCGGCCCTTAAGAAATCGACCAAATTTTCATGTGATAAAGGTCACATCATTTCGGAAAAGAATAGAAAACGACTTTACGATCAAAAGAGAACACAATTACAGCAAAATCCTTGCTTTAGACTGCGTTTTAAAAAATTAGTAATTTGCGAAATTTCGCAAATACAGTTTTTTTACAACTTCTCAAATGGGGCCGTATCGACATAAATCACGTCAGTAGGGTATGATGTGTCTACAAAATGAAGGAACAAGTCGCCATTGCCATTAACAATGTATGCCCTGTTGCTGTTTAGTCCTGCTTTAGAGATTTTAGGTTCGACTCTCGGCCCTTAAGAAATCGACCAAATTTTCATGTGATAAAGGTCACATCATTTCGGAAAAAAATAGAAAACGACTTTACGATCAAAAGGGAACACAATTACAGCAAAATCCTTGCTTTAGACTGCGTTTTAAAAAATTAGTAATTTGCGAAATTTCGCAAAATACAGTTTTTTTACAACTACTCAAATGTGGCCCTATCAACATAAATCACGTCGGTAGGGTATGATGTGTAAACAAAATGAGGGAAAAAGTCTTTTATAGGATAGGGCCCCATTTGACCAATTGTAAGAAAACTGTATTTTGCGAAATTTCGCAAATTACTAATTTTTTAAAACGCAGTTTAAAGCGAGGATTTTGCTGTAATTGTTTTCCCTTTTGATCGTAAAGTCGTTTTCTATTCTTTTCCGAACTGATATGATCTTTATCACATGAAAATTTGGTCGATTTCCTAAGGGCCGAGAGTCATACCTAAAATCTCTAAAGCAGGACTAAACAGCAACAGGGCATACATTGTTAATGGCAATGGCGACTTGTTCCTTCATTTTGTAGACACATCATACCCTACTGACGTGATTTATGTTGATACGGCCCCATTTGAGTAGTTGTAAAAAAACTGTATTTTGCGAAATTTCGCAAATTACTAATTTTTTAAAACGCAGTTTAAAGCGAGGATTTTGCTATATTTGATTCTCCCGTGGATGATGGTAATCTTTTGGATCCTAATTCTAACTAAAATAAGCATACAATATGACTTAAGCTGTTTTCCACTGCAAAAATTCATTTTGGACAGACCTCTCGTAAATACTTTGTTGATAATTTTGGAACGATTGAAAGTTTGTATTCGCAAATGACAGCCTAATTGTTCATTACACTTTGTTTCCCCTGTTGCAGTCACAGCGGCATTGACATTGTGTCTCGCTAACCAGATACTATGTACTAAACCCCCGTCTTCTTTGGGACGGGCTCGGAAAGCATGGCTTCTACCGCTGGAGACTGAGAAGAAACATGTCGCTTTAATGCAATAAATATGCGTTCTTATGATGGTAGACAAGGAATGTAAGGTTTATATATCACTTTCAATTGGTTTATGCTTCGATTTCAGGTATAAAAGGTGGATTTCATGTAACGAAATTTCGCAAATTACAATAAGCCGTTCCAGGGTATTTTCAATCTTCTTTCGATAAATAATTTCATAGCAGTGCGGTACACTACTTGCTGTTGTATTGATCATATATGTCCTGTTAGGAAACTACCTACCACCAGTCAGGCACAGCGGAGAGTGGAGGAGGCTAAAGAGGTAGGGGAAGGGGCTAAAACCGAATAAAAAGAGATTGGTGGTTCACTTCTCAATTTTTTGCATCTTCTGCGAAATGTAGCAGGCTTTAGCACCCCAGCCCCACCCCAACCTCCTTCTCCGCGGTGCCTGCCAGTGCTTACCATGCCCTGCTAAATAGAGCCTGTTTAGTACCAGTACATGTCTTAAATACGGTCAGGGACGGAATCAGCGAGGGGTGTGGGGAGGTGCGACACCCCCATATTTTTTCCATTCGGTAAAGTAATTTCTTGGTAGTCAGCAGTAACAAAGTAATGCTAAGATTTTCCTTTTTTATCTTATTATCAGTAGCGTAGCGAGGGGGCAAAGGGGGCGGTTGGTTTCTGAGAAAGTGCAAATCTGCAATAAAATTAGTACCCTAGGAAAAAGTTTATATTTCAGACAATATAAAAGTTTTTAAAAAATGCAAGCAAATGACTGTGAGAAATATTCTGAAATGTACTGTATTTACACTAATCTGCAGGGCGTGGTAGCAAAAATATCCTCCTTTTTGCCCCTCCAATCTTCCAGACCTGGCTACGCCACTGCTTCTTATCGTCTTTACCTTAGAGTTAAAAACCATATTTTAAAAAATAGGCGTTTCCATCAATTTCCAGTGACCTGAAGGTTGTGGCACCAAAATCCAATTAGTGTCTAACACCACTCCCCTTCCCCCAATCATTGTTATCTAAATCCCTCCCTGAATACGGCTTTCCTTTTGAAGGTAAATATTTTATCAAACTGAATTTAACAGAAAAATCTTCATATCACTTGCAAAAAGAACAAGTTGATTGAGTTACATTTATTCAAGTCTTTTGAAAATAGGTCTTTTGTATGAAGGGTTTTGTCTGGCGCTAACCTTAGCTTCTCGAAAACTAGAGCACAGACACAACAATTGCATACACAGGGACGACGATAGCTATAGGGGCATAGTATTCAAACAGAAAAGGAAAATAATTGTTTACGAGCCTGTCGGTCATAAAGTACTCGTTGCTGTTTATAGGCTCAGCTGTACACAGTTGCCTGCTGATCGCATTAAGCATGAAACTCGGAGTAGCAACTTAGAATCGTCCTGTTCTATACATCAAAAGCGTGTTCACGAAGGGTGTCTAAGTCCCAAATGCCTACCAGAAGGCAAACCTCCTCTATTAACATGTCTTCGATGAAGCAGTCCTAGATGGCTAAAAACTCCACTTTATTTAAGTGGAATCCTTTTTTAAGGGGGTATCACACATCCAGCCCCCCCAAAACAGCCTGATTATTGACCATAATATGGCTGATAGGTCATAATCTACTATCATCAATTTCTGAACCCACTTTAAGATTCCTACCTAGTACCTACACCGCTGTGTCCCTACAATAGTTTGAATTCCTAAGTACCCTTAACTATACCCTTCCTCACCTTGTTCATGTAGAGCGTTAGAAGACAGTCTCAATTATCTAATACGAAAAAACTAACACGAGCTGAAATCTTTGAAAGCATTTGAGCGTATTTCGGACTCATTTTGGATGTCTCGGTCGGACAAGCCAATACCGATTCTTTACTGCTTCTCGTGCACATCTACTGAAATTTGTCGGTTGTCTGTTGAGCCACTCTTGGGGAAACTGAACTTTTGAAAGAACACGCTCTAAAACAAAACAATTCACCTTTTGTGAATTTTTGATTAAACCCCATATGTGGATTGTGGATTTTTGATAATGCTAATTGAGGAGAGTTGCTTTAGAGAAAATGTTCCTCCTTTAATTCACTTTTGTTTCGTTCAAAAGGTGTTTATCGTCAGTTGGAGCATTCTGGACAGCCTAACTATGTACAACTTAAGTTTTATCAATTTGCCAAAGCACAGCTTGAGTTTGACTCTTTCCTTAAGCTTGCCTTTACTAGGCATCAACATTCGCGTAAGTATATTCCCAATCCTCGTAGTATGTGTTGTTTAAACCACTTTGAATTTATAAATATTGGGTTTATAAATAAGCTTCTGGACAAGAGGCAAGGCTAAACAGTGAAAGCTATTGAAGTTAAGTTGTTATTGCATCTTCATTTAACGGCATTAAGACAAGCAGTCTTTGCGAAAGACAGTGCTGTATCGTCTACAATTGTTAATAATAAATAGTTTGCGAAACTGTATTTCTAACTGTTAGGCGTGAAAAGGCACAGTTTGGCCTAGGGCCTTTTAAAGCAAACGCATCCTTTCTTGGAGCAAACTACGGATTTTGGGGCTAAAAGATAGGCTTAATCCTCCTTGTCCCAGGCCAATCGCTTACGCTGCCCCTATTTCTTGGCTGCTGCTCTATTTTAATTTTGGCGAATAAAGCCCCCATTTTACAGTTTGTCTCTGCTCTCGGGTTACTGACGTCACGCCAGTCTTCAACTTCTGCGAAGGCACGTTAGAGGCCTGGACCCTAACAATTTCAAAATCAGAAAGAGAATATCAATGTGTGCTCGAAGGGGATAGAAGGTCACAATCAGGTCTTACCAGATTTCCGAGATTCTATTTTTCAGATAAAGTTGAAGTTGCAACGAGTGTCTTGGTAAAAATCAGGAGAAATGGAGGTCGAAATACCAATGGTAACTCATCTTGATTCAAGCATCTTGTTTACTTCTCGAGCTTACTATCCCTGTTGCACCGGCAACGGAATAGGCCTACTGCCAAATTCTCCTTGAAATACAGATTCATCTATAAACATTGTTTTCTAAGGTTAGGTCTGTTGCCTTAGAATCTGGTTATCTAACCAAGAAATGACTGAAATAGTTATCTTCCTTACAAATGATTTTTATTAAAGAAATCATCCTTATCATGGCTTTGAATTTTCCTAACTCCTTTGCATTCCATCTAACTTCTCCAGTTAAATATGAAGTTCCGTTCGGTTTTTTTATTTTCTTTCTATATTTTATTTTTAAAACCCCCTTCGTACAAAAATCCATTAAACAACAGTTAACAAAGATTAGATAGGGAACAAAATTTACTTAAAAAGACGAGAAAGTGTTTGATATCAAGTAGAAATCCAATTGTATTCAAGATTAGTAATTTCAAGGTATATCGTGTGTAACAGACTGATGAACATCTGACATAATTTGCAAAATATTATTCCTGGCATCAAAGGCTAATAATGTAATTGAGCAAGACTGTCCTTGAGTTGAGATAAAAAATCTAAGTGTTTGTTGGCTGTGCTTTTGAATAAAGCTGTTTTATTTATCAATGGCTTTTCAAATAAGCTTTGTGTTTATTAACAGCTTTTCAAATGATGTATATATGATGTTGAATATCACTTTGAAAGTGAATATATCAACCAGTGGTGGACTATGAATCAGGGGTAGACACTTGGTCAAATATTGAGGGGCAAGCCAATTTTCATAAGATGATGTCACATTCTCCCCTTTTTTAGAACAAAAGATCATTGTCTTCCAGAATATTGGTGGGAAGGGTGACTCCCCTTGCCACTGCTTCAAGTGCAAGGAGAGAAAAAAATCCCCAGCAATTTTTAAATTATTTTCAAGCATGCCTTCGGTAAAAGGTAACCTTTTAGATAGCTCATCTCAAACGAGCTATTTTGATCACAAAATCTGTTGTGGCATGTGGTTTTGACAAATGGAAAGAACAGTCATAAATGTAATTATTTCAGCTTTTATATTAACAATGCCTAATGCTGATTTAGTGTGTCTAATAGATGGGCCCCAGTGTATTAATTTCAGAAGAATTTGCCCTCCCCCTGTCACTTATTAGGGCCCCCTTCTATTAAATTTTACAAATCTGTCATGACCAAAACACGCAATTTCCACTTGTCAATAATTGATGGATTCAAGTTGACGTCATCAATTTTTTATCTCGCTATCTACGGATCTTTTTCAAAAATGGACTGAAAATTTCATGTTGTTTTGGCCGACTTTGGCTGCAGTGAAAAAAATTCACTACAGCAACAAATTCCATTGAAATGTTTAGTAAAAGCTAAATTTTGAAAATGGGGTAATTCGCATGCCTGACGGTCCAAACAATTTGAAATTTTTGGCACAGACTATTTCAACATGAAGGTTCCAATTCTGTCATCCATTTTTGCCAAATTTGAAGATACAAATTGCTCGAATCCGAGAAATCCCCTTGTTATGTTATGTAGCTATTTTTTGATTGTCATAATTCCCCTTGTTATGTTTGTCTATCTTTATCTCTAACCATCTATCCATTATCAAGTAACCAAAGTCACCATCCAACTAATTCCACTGCCTTTTAATTAAAAGATTTACCAAAATCCACTCCTTCTTTTAGCTCCCCTTTGCTATTGAAATTTGCTGACATTTTATTGAAAATTGGCCCCCCTTCTATTAGCAACCCACTTCTATTGAAAACTGGCCAACATGAACACCCCCTTCTATTCGAACCCCCCTCCTATCGGAAATTGGCCAGAATGAACACCCCCCTTCTATTACCTCCCTCCTTCTATTAGAGACATTAGAATGAAAACAATTGATCAGTGCTTTTTGCAAGTTGTTAAAAATTTATGTCATGTGATATAAAATAACATGCACCTATCACTCTTGTTTCTCCTTGCAAATATTTTTTACATAATGTATAAAATATATGATATATATATATTTATGTGTATGCTTCTTTTTAGAAGATTGAAGGTACTGACATTATGAATGATGATGGAGCAGGAAAGAAAAAACGCCGTAATATGTTTGATGTTGGCCCTGAAGGTATTTTATCTAATTTTTTCTTATTACCAATTTTTCTTTATTGGAAGTTCTTAATATTATGTTAAGAAGATGCAAACATGATGGAAGGGCTGGTTTAGTGTTGATTCTGCTATTTCAGAGATAAGGAATGCTAGAGATAATCTTATAAAGTTTTTCCAAGAAATGATTTTCCCTTTGCAAATCAAATAACTATTTGTTAGCTTGTTAATTTTATGTCTAGTTCATCAAGCAATACTAATGGGAACACCATTTCTTTTTTTATTTTGTATAAAAGGTACTTAAAAGTGAATGGAGCCACAAGATGATTTCGGAGAAGAAACAATTTGATGTTAAACAACATTATGGAATTTTTCTCTCTCCTCGTCAACATTTCTTCTTGTTGCCATTTTGATCCTCTTATTAGATATTTGATTCATTTAAATGTTCTTCTTCATTTAAATGTGCCCATTTTATAATTTTTTTACCAACTTAGCCAGATTTAAAAATTTTAAGTCTTAAAATCATATTTCCTGTTAAGTTAAGTTCGATAAATCAAAATATATTTTATCTATAAAAGTTCATTGCTAAGATTTGCATCAGTCTTTGCATTTAGTCATTAAGTTAAGGAACAGTTGACAAATCATTGGCTTGTTTGATAATAATCTTACAAATTAATTGCTTAATTCTCTGCTTGCTTATGTTTTCATTCCAATGTTCTCACAAAGGTAAGGTAAGTTTGACAAATCACTTAGTGGAGAATGGAACAAGCCTACTAATATAAAGAGTGTCATTTGCGAGAGACTTCATAGTATAATTTGATTGTGCCGGTCGCAATTGTATAAGTACAATATACTTCTGGATGTATTCCTCTATGTATTTGTAGGGGTAGTGTTTTCCAAATGACGTTTTTTTATATCTTTCTAAGAAGGTTGCCATGTGTGATGTACAAATCACAACACCAACGCCTTTCCTGTGGATACAGCAATTGATTTCTTTTCTTTGGTAACCCTTCAGTATGATTAATGCTTGTTATTTGTACAGCCAGGGTCCACTCCCAATTTATTTGCTATGTCACAGAACAATTTGGATTTCCTTATTTCATTTGATGAGCAAGATTTTACTCAAATTGTGCATGAATTTTCCATTAAAGAACTTATTTTTAAATCTTCTCAAATCTGACAGTGTAAAAATTTGCAAATTCATGTTTTAAGTATCGATAATAGTTTATAAAAAAACAGAATGTATTTCAAGGGAATACTTCAGCAGAAACAACAGTGGCAGTGTTGATTTATAACAGTACTGTACCAAATTTACTGATTGGTTTGTGATTGGTGTGTTTATAGTCATTCTGAACCAGTATTCCAGTACAGAGTGTCTTTTAAAGCAACCATCAATACTTCCCCTATTTTGTTGTCTGTATAAAAATCTAAACAGTGTATTTCAAAAATCTAAGAAGCAAGAGGTAAGGTTTCATGAAAAATGATCTCAAAAGAATTGTGAACATTTATGAGGTACAAGCATACAATTTTTTTCTCCAAAAACTTCATGAAAAACCTTACAAATTATGTATGTTTATTTTTACTCTTTCAGAATCGGAAATAAAAACAAACATTTGATTTTATTCTCTTTTCCTTAAGGTCAAATTTCAAGGAGGGAAGATGATGATTTGCCACTGTATGATGATGGAAAGGGCCAAATCGTTGCTGGTCCAGGTGCGGGTGGCTTGCAGCCAAGGCCATCTGAAGCAAAAAGAGCATTGCCCAAATTAACAAGACCACAAGAGGAAGCTCTGGCTAAGGCCAAGAGATATGCAATGGAAATGTCTGTACAGCATGTAAGTGAAGAGAAAATTGTGCAATGACTGAGTGCAGATACAACTTTTATTCTTATTGTCTCTATTCTTGTCTGCTGGCAAAGTTAATTAGCAGATCTTATGGACATGAACCATTTTGTTGTTCTAACCTAAAGAACCTACCACTACCAGTTTATTGAAGCTGTAAATTTGTAAAAAATGTTAAATCATTGAACTCGAAATATTTAGTGGAAGTTAAAGGCATTGAGTCATGATAAAAAGAGAGGGTATACCCAAACATACCAAATCTGCTGAGTCATGATTTTCTTGCTGCATTGCTATTGGTTGACCTGGAATTGGTCACATGAACTCATCTAGTACTGATTAACAAAACAGGTCCCATCAATTGCAAGATGTCAACAGCAGATGCCGAAATCACATGAAACTGCAGTGATCAGACCAAAACCAAAATGCCCCCTAAAAAGAAGATCTATTTACCATGAATGCCTTTAAAGGTAATGTGTCCAGCTATACCAAGCGACTCTGCAGGGGTTTTTAGAAACATGTGATTTTTCGTGTCATCGCCCCAGTCATTACGGTCGCTCTTTTTATTTATCCTGCTGCTAGGTCAGTTTTTCATGTGAGCAGTGCTTTGCATTGCAAGAACACTAACCAATCGCAAATTGTTATTTTGATGGGTGGCTTGACAAGTTGGGTATACGCAGTCCCTTTATATGGACACATTACCTTTAAGTTAAAACATAACAATTTCCTTGATTGTAATTTCTCGCTAATTTCTTTTACAAAGGTCCTCAACAAGCAAAAAGTAGTGCAAGTGGAGCAGATGACTACCCTCCAGACCAATGCACAAAGGCAGAGAGCATTGGCACTGATGTGCAGGTAAGAAGCCATTAGCATTTGTATTTCTAGTTATGTTTTACATGAAGTTATTACATGTATTTCTATGATAGTGATTTTTTGAATTTAATGGTGTTGTATAAATAAATAGGTGCCATGCTGGCAGCTAACTTTTTTCAATAGTTGCCATCATAGCCCAAGTATGCAAATTCTAAATAATGATGGCAGCATGGAAAGTTAGGAAAAGGAATACCGTAAAGAATCTCTAAAGCTTGATGATGATAATGTTGTATAACCAGACTGAAAACTAAGTTCATATGGACCTATCGCCAAACTATTAAATGTCAATATCAGCTCATATATTCAATACAAAACAATTTTGGTTTCTTTATTATCTTGAAAGGCTAAATTTATTATTTTTGCTGCATTGTTTTAAAACTGCTCAATTCTGGATTCCAATCACCTCAAAATTTCAAGTGTGGATAACCAGCTGCAGAAAAGGCACCTTTTGACTGTCAATATCTTATTGAACACTGCATGGTGTTTATCAGGAAAGAAAGTTCTTTTTACTGTGTTGTCTCCAGATGACTGAAATGAATTATATATATATTGCTTTGAAAATATTTGTAAGTGATTTGACATGTCTATAAACAACTTTACATGATAGGCTCTGATGCAAGTTGGTTAGTGAGGGCTGCAAGAGTGAATTAAAGATTCATAAAAAGATATTAAAAAAAGCTTTTTTATTTTGCAAAAAGAAGGTGGACCATGGCAAGGGCTCTTTATATTCTAGACAGCATTGATAGATTGTATTTAGATAACCACTTTTATCTGTTTTTATATTTTATATATCCTGTATATGAATTAAGTCTTATTTTGCCAAATCTTCCAGGATATATGTTGGCAGTATAAACTTTGAGCTGAAAGAAGATAGCATTCGCTCTTCGTTCATTCCATTTGGACCAATAAAAAAGATAGACATGTCATGGGACCCAACAACGATGAAGCATAAGGCAAGTCAATACTGTGCCTTCATATATTATTGCTGCTTCGTAGTTATCAAATAGGTTTTGTTGCTGTTTCTGCTTGATTTAAAACCACCCTGCCTCTCCAAATAGACCCATTTTCCAAAAACTTGCTTTGCCTGGTGATCGCATTAAACGTGAATTTAAAGAGTAGCAACTTAGAACCGTCCTGATCTATACACCAAATAGCGTATTCTAACATTGATCTTAGTTGTTAGGTACTTTAGCTGTTGGGCCATTTCGGCCTACAAGCATTAGTTTAAAAAAAATCGGGTTTAGTATCCTTAGGCCAGAAATTTGCCCGTTTTATAGAACAAGTTTTCTCATTATTTTGTCCGGATTTTGGGGCATATCGACAATGCCCTGACCTGAAGAGTTTTTTGTCAACAAAGTACCTTCTTCTACAATGAGTGTTTGATATTTCAAGACGCATGAGGTTTCCGTTTGTGAATGCATTACAATAATCATAGACAAAGATGCTAGACTGTTGTCTGTCCCACGAGAAATAAGATTGTAAATGTGATAAACATGGTCGGAAATGGACCTTGCGATGTTTCTGCACAATGTAGAAGAAAACAAAGCAATGTGGGTGATGAGGTTCTGAAAGAAATTGATCTCAATATACCTGAAAATTAAATCAAAAAAGATATGCCATACCACAATTCCTCACTCAAGTGAAGGAGCAAAAAACCTTATTGACCCACAGCGTTGCTTCTCTTTTATCCCTAGCTCTTTTGTTTACATCTTACAACGTCTCTTAATCTCTTTCCTGTTCAACCAAACATCTTACTAGAAAGCATGAATGCACCCCCTTTCCTATAGGCTCTAATGCTTGCAATCTTGGCGCTAAATAGTTTTTTATCAGCATCACCTGGCGTAACTCTCAGCACAATTTGAAAATCCAGTTTTTCTAATCAACCGTGATACCCTAAACAAAGTTGTACTCTCAAATAATGTAAGTGAATTGGTGTAAATGGCTTTTATGAAATATAATTACTGAAATGAAATGCAGGACACAAAGCTTTTTTAAGCTTTTGCTTTGTTACCTTTTTCATATTTTTAATTCTTTTATGAATTTCTGTTCAAAATTTCGCTTTTTAAAAAATTTAATTGACAATTTGTCCGGTTTTTAAAGAGCAATAACTTAATACAGTATCTAACTATATTTATTACAGTAATACATTTTCAAAAGTTAGCATTAAGATCATGCACTTCTTCGACAGGTTTTGAAATTATACTAGGAAGGGAGCCAATTTCACCTTCTTTCTTCAAAAGCACTGTCTATCATTGTTAAATTAAACTTGCTCTTAAACTGACCGAATGTTGCTCTTAAAAGATATACTGTAGATCCTCCATATAACGGAAATTGTTCTGACCAGTGTGATTGTCCGTTGTATAGGTGTCCGTTGTATAGGTGTCCGTTGTATAGGTGTCCGTTGTAGAGCAGTGTCCGTTAATGGATGTTTCACTGTAGGTACAAATTTGTTTCCCTATAGCAAACTGCTATTTGCATTTATCACAGAATTTCCCTTTCTTTCTACAGGGATTTGCTTTCGTCGAATACGAATTACCAGAGGCTGCACAGCTGGCGTTGGAACAAATGAATGGAGCTCTTTTGGGTGGCAGGAATGCCAAAGTATGTTGCTCTGCCGTTTTGTTATCAGGGTTTTTATCGTTTTGTTAACAGAGTCTAAATATGTTGGCCTAAGCTGTTCATTGGCTTTGCGAATTGAATAAATAATCTTGTTTCAGTCGACAAAATGTTTTTGAGTGTAATCGTCTTCTTGTTTTGATTTCAAAGCAAAAAGCCAAGTGCTGCTGATATAATTTTGATTTAAACGCGTCTTTGTGGCATTTCTTCAAAAGAATAACAAATGGTGAACTGACACTAATTGATTAAATGCAAGTGAGTCTTGATAAGGAACCACCATATCCTGGGAATACCTTTGGTGGTATGCGAGAACAGAATTTTACAAGATTTGCTCCTATTTAACTAGATAACAAATCAAGAGGTTAAAAGACCATTGAGATTGTGTGGCCGATAGTTTCAATCTATTGATTAAATGCAGAAGAAGCCAAATTTTGTTTTGAAATATGTGTGTAGGTGTGTGGAAATAAATAACGCGGAAATTAAAATTTGGTTCCGATATATTTTCTCGTTACATTTTTAAAGTAAGTAAGACATATTCAAAGAAGATCAGTGTAAATGTTTTGTTCTTAATAAGACGGCGGGATCCTTTCTTTTTATTTTGTGTTTTCTTGTTTTTATTTACGTTTTTTTTTCACTTAACAATAAATATTTAGACAAATTAATCGACTTTGTCGTATTTTCTCTTGAATACTAAATAAAGGTGCTTTATTCAACTCAAGTATGAATTTAACCTACAAACAATGTAAACAGTTCAGTAGACGATTGGCCTTTTGGAATATTTTGTATACATTCATTCTGTTGAAGGTTGGCCGACCAAGTAATGTGCCTCAGGCTGCTCCCTGGATTGAACAGATTCTTGAAGAAGCACGCCAGTATGCTCGGATATATGTGTCATCGATTCACCCAGACCTTACTGAAAATGATATTAAAAGGTATCTTAATTTATTAGCTATTCTCACCAAGTGATCGCTGCAACAATATAATGGTATCGGTTTACAATCATGTGCAAAAGTCATCCCTTATTTGATTTTTTTGTGTCCTACAGCCACTGAAAGGTTTATTAAATAATATTGCTGTAGTTGCAAATACTGCTTGCATCACCTAAGCTGTAGTTGAATAATATACCTTTGCATACAATGGCTGACTGTAAGGAATCGACAAGCCTAGTTGCTTAGAAACGTATCGTTGTTAATTCAGTCTATTGCCTCGGTTTAATAACAATAGGAGGGTCGCAAACATGATAGTGCTCGTTGTCTGTAAGTTACTCGTATAGAGTTTTATCTGTTGCTTGGAAGTATCCGTAATTGGGTTTACTTTTTTCATGGCGGCTTTACTTATTCTAAATTCCATCCATACATTTTCTGCATAAAATGCGCTGAGAACGCTATGATTATAAAATCGGACGGTTCTAAGTTGCAAATCAAAGTTTAACGCTTAATGTGACCATTTGGCAACTGTCAAAAAGTATACATATATTACATGAAAATGTTTTTGTAGGTAATGGAATTTCGTATAAGCTCGCACCAACTAAAAATAATTAAATATTCCTTTGTTATTAGTTATTTGTTGTTATCAGGTGTACTAGGGTTGATGATTGTTTAATAAGGTGGTACATTAATTCTAATAAGGTGATGATTGTTTGATATTTTCAGTGTATTTGAAGCATTTGGAAGGGTAAAGGACTGCAGCCTAACCCCAGATAACGTAACTGGTAAGCATAAAGGGTACGGTTTTGTCGAATACGAAACCCACCAATCAGCAACAGATGCCATTGCCTCGATGAATCTTTTTGATCTTGGTGGGCAGTACCTAAGAGTAGGAAGGGTGAGTTGATTTGCTTATGGTATATGCTATTTTCACATGTCTCTTTGTTTTGTCTTGCACTAGCGTAGTTGTTAGTAAATGATAAAGCTGGTTATCGTGATTGCTCATAACTGTTCATGACGGGTATCAAACAACAAACTAACGGAAGTATATGAAACCTTACCATTTTGAATTTTATCAGCTGTGTAGTTTCCAGTTCTTTTTCATATCAAACAGAGCTTGTGAACAAATTTCTGCGAAGTTTCTTTGTTTCTTTTGTAAATTATTCTGACTTTTCATCATCTTGCTTCAGTTAATTTGTTTGTTACATTTTTGTTTTGCAATGTAGCTCTTTCACGTTCAGATGTATATTAGAGTATCTAAATAAACGTTTTGCTAGAGACAACTAGCTTTTAAAGGCTATGTTCACTATTTTCAGGCGATAACGCCGCCAGCGAATGCAGCAACGACTGGTCCACTACCTACTGCTGCAGCTTTGGCAGCAGCGGCTGTGTCAGCGAAAATTCAGGCACAAGAAGCCGCTGCCTTAGGAGGTAAGCCTGGATTAAACAACTTTACCTTGAATGTACAGTTGTTTTTCTTGCAATTGCATTGTTCCGGATTTTTTAGATAACTTCAAATCCGTGATTTCACAAATTTTTTGTTTTGTTATCCTTTGGTAATTTAATCTTTCAAGTTGTTAGAGTTTAGCTTCACAAGCGAAGGCGGTTGTAACGAATCTCTTTTATTTTAAAAAAACAAATTTTTGTTATTACAGTTAAGAAAAAAATGTTTTAAGTCACTATGTTGTTTTGATGTTGGTATTAATTCGTTAATGTTTATATGTTTGTGTTAATTTCTTGTTGAATTTTACTGTACTGGAATAATTCGTTTTTTTTGCTTCCCTAGTACCCGTCGTTCCAACAGGCCCTACGGTCATCACCTCGGTCGCAGGTGTTCCCATGGCAATCCCAGCCTCGTCTCTCGGTGTTGGTTCCCCACTAGGATCGATAACAACAGCAGTATCCACGAACATCACTGCCTTTTTGGGGGCTGGTGAGTAGCTGTTTATACATAAAGACTGTTTATCATAGTTGGCATTCTACCTTTTTTTTGCTTCATATCACTTTTCGTGTTGTGAAGTATTGGCCTATCAAATTCATATTGAAAAAAAGTTTTCAGGTTTTATGAAACTTAAGGATTGCATTGAAGTTTGCTATCCTGTTCAGAAAGTTTTGTCAACTGGCACTGAGAGTATGGAATTGAGAAATTATGGTGAAATTGTGTTGAAAAGTATCTTTATTGACTTCCATATCAATGTAGAGAATATAGCTAATCATGTTTTGAAACTGCGAGTAATTGATAATGAAATGTTGAGATCGTGGATAACTTAAAGAATCCCATGAAGAAAATTATCTCCTGATATCTTTAATTCACCATTCTCCCTTTGAAAATAGTTTTCTTACCAAATTACCTTATAAGAACGCTTTTCCTTGCAACCCCAACGATGCATTCTGTTTTATCTTCTTTGTTAGTTTCCCGGTCATATTCCTAGACGTCATTTCTTTCTTGGGCACTGCCCCTCTGGATATACATATTGTTCACCATTTCCGATTACCGTTTCTGTTTCCATGTGTTCATTGAATTCCGACTGTATCTGTTGTAATTATGAAACTGCGGGGTGGAAGACTTTTACGAATGAAGCTGTAAAAGGGTTCGAATAAGCAGTCGATTTTTTGTTCATATTTCCAAAATTTTGTATCCGCTTAAAGTAAGAAGGTAAACGAAGTAGAACATTATTTTATTGATGTCAGCGTTAGTTGTTTATATTAGATTGGCGTCTTTAAGAAAGGCTGCGCTGAAAAAGCGAAATGAAAACACCATACCAAAATCTCACTTGTATTGTTTGTGCTGAGAGTTTCCAAAGCTCAACAGTATTTTCAGGAAGAATGATAGATGCTTCTTGGAATATGGTAGACTCCACAAGGTTGTGACTCCACTATACTACTAACTTTGTTTTATTATACACTACTTTAGGCATAGCTCCTGTGTCAGAAGCACAAATGACTGCACAGCCACAAGCAGTGGCTCAAAGCCCACCAACTAGTTCCCAGAAGACTTCACAGAAGAGTAATAGTTCTAAGAACGGTCACGGAAGTGGTGACATGACAGCATCTTTAGTCGCACAAGCTTCTAAGCACGCTGACGTAAAGGCGAAGATAGAAATGTTGGGCGACGATGTAAGCGCAAAAGCCAGTGAGCAGAATTTAAGTCGGGAAGAAGATATGAAAATTTCCGGCAAAGAAGCGAGATATATCATGATGCAAAAGCTATCACGTCAGAGTAGGGTGTGTAGCATGCTAGATGCAAATAAGTATACTTCTACTGTCATTACTCTACTTGCTCGATTTCACAATGAAAAGACGGTATGGTTATAGGCTTCAAAAGGAAGTCAAAATTGCTTTATTTTCTTTCCTCTCAGCTTAGAGGCTGGTTCAAGCTATACCTATTGTAAGCTGGCTGACATTTTTAAAGCCTGTATTGCACATATTTTGCCCAAGCATTTATAAGTATTTTGCCGCATTGAAGCTTATTTAGAGTTCAAACCAAACGATTTATGACTTAGAGTTCAAACCATTCCGCACCTCTCCTCGTCGTTGCTACTTTTGTTAAAGTCGAGGTGTCAATTTTAAGATACAAACCATTTTTTCTTAGTCCAAAGTACTGGTGTTACGAAACATGGTTTCTGTGGAGGACATTGATGACGACCTCGAGATGGAAGTGACCGATGAATGTCGAAAGTTCGGCGAAGTCAATCGAGTCATTATTTATCAAGAAAAGCAAGGAGAAGAGGAAGATGCTGCGGTAGTGGTCAAAGTTTTCGTCGAGTTCAATGAGCCTGAAGGTATAAATTCATTTATAGTTCGTAAAAAGTGTTGGTTGCTGGAAAGTTTTCCCCCTGCAAACACGCAGATGTTCTTCAAATGAAATTTTTTTGTAAGCGCGAGAGTGTTGAATGCATTGACCCCCACAAAAGCAAAGCTCTATGTATTTGTAGTTTGTGAAGTACATCTTAATCAAAAAAGCACTATCTACATGTGCCGTACGTCGAATGAGATCAAATGTAATCATATTTAAATGAGAAAAGCGGCTTTGTACATCGAATTATAAAAATTATGCCTGCGTTCCTGGTGAAGAAGGTTTTTAAAGGATAACACCTGGGTGAAGAGTCACGCTCGAAGCATAGGTTACCTTTCATTTACAAAGCCGTTACGCTAAAGTAAAGTATGTTTATCCATGGGTGTTGATGGTTTTTCATTTTGATATTCTAACTATTGAAATATATGCCCGAAATTTCAAGGGGGATGTGTTGAGGTCCCGGGCGTTGTATGCAAGCTACTCGTCGTATGTTAATGCGTTTACTAAACAACTAGGCCGCCCAGGAATGTACTATGGCCTTTTTGTTGTGAAGATGATTTAAAATCCTTCCTTTCTTCATTTCTAGAGGCAGAAAAAGCGCAGTCAGTTTTCAATGGTCGATGGTTTGGCGGAAATTGTATCATTGGAGAAATTTATGACGAGGAAAAGTTCAATGCGGGTGATTTCTTTGGTTAGATTGTAGATTTCTACTCACACAGTCGACAGATGAAGAGCTTTCACTTCCCGCTGCAAGGGAGCACATTCGTGATGATATAACGGGGGTAGATGTAGTTTATGTAAATATTAGGGTTTGTATGATGCGCCTGAGAGCAGCAAGATTTGCTATTCCATATAGAAAGACATTGGACTTTCAAGTTTCCAATGTTGGACGGCAAGAAAACGACTGTGTAAAGATGAGAAGGACTAGTTCGAATCAAGGCTACGGAGAAGTCATGGGAAACTGTAGTTGCATCGAAACCTTTGAGGAGGACTATTATGCAGCTCCTGTTGGAGTTTTTACCTCACGTGTATATTTGCAGCGTCGATTGTGAACTTGTTTCAACCATTATTATGCATATGTTGAATGCAGTTTTTAAAGGACCTAACTGAGAAAGGCTACCTGACTCAATCAGTTTTTGATAACCTCACTATTACATTGTTGTCGACTAATCGAAGTTACAACAAGTAAGGTGTTCTAATTTATAGTTTCTAGAATATTGCTTGAAAAGCATTGAAATGTTGCAGAGTTGCGAGTTAACTTCTAGGCCTGCTTGTTTCAAAACCGGATAGCGTGTAGCTTATAAACAAATGGCACCAACTTCATTTATTTACTAAAAACCCCAGTTTTTAAATGATTTAAGAAATGTTTGGCTTCCATTGCAAATTTTCATGCAAAAATCTCGAGCCAAAAACTAACCAGAAAGCTATATTTACAAACACATGTAATTTTACTTATTAATTTTGTCAGGTATAATTATAGATATTTCTTTGTCTTAAAGAAATGTTATGAAGCAATTGTCATGTTTAGTTCTTTGCCAGTTTTTTTCACATATGAGACCTACGGCTTCAGTTGTATTACTTTCTTGCATTTCTATGATTAGAAAGCAGACCTTCTTCCTCAAATGTTATTTTTGCTATTTTGTTACATTTGTAAAAATAAGCTTATTGAGGAACCTTCCTTTTGTAAGGAAAGGAGATGCCAGAATATCTGTATTAGCTTTTAGGTTAGACCGCGTTCTTGAATTGTTTCGTTGGCTGGGAAAGGATTGAAATATCATTCGTTGATTTTTGTCAGCGAAAGAAGGCACTTTGAAGCTTCGTTTGTTTATTAGGTTAATTTGACAACCTTTGTGTTCACATTATGTAAGGATCTGATCGGTTACGTGAATAGGTAGATTATTCATGTCTCGACAAATGGGCTTGCCAGAACTTCAACCTGTAAGGAACAGTCTTGTCGATGAAGTTCAGTTTATCATTAATTCCTAATGAAAAGAAAGCCATAAAAATACTATTTTAGACAACTCTTTTTCTTGACTAGATATCCAGTTTCATTAATCAGCTTTGTTTTTCATGAAACTGCTCGGTTTTACTTAAAATGGAGTTGTTTGTCTTCAATTTGAAATATATTTCATCCCGCTTTCAATTTTAACAGTTCAAGCCATTCACGAAAGTGTTTTGAAACATTCGTGCCGTTTCTTGGAGGTATTCGATTGTTGGAATGTACATTCTTGTCACTTCTTCACTCCTCTCCCTGAAGGCTGAAATTGAATCGTGGTTAATCCCGAGGGTTTTTAGCAGCTGCCATATATCTTTGTCCTTTGAAGTTTCATGGAGGAACTTTCTTTGCAAAAATCATTCCAACAAATTCTAGTCAATCGATCAGAATACGTTCTTTAACGACTGGTCAAGATTTTGAGATTCAGATTGTTGATTGTTGATTCAGAGCAATGGATGCAAGTGTAGGCACCGTCAGTCGTCACTGGTAAGTAAGAAACTTTAGCTACTGGCTACTTCGAGACGAAATGCAATGGGCACGAGTTCTGAATAACATGAAAGTTTAACAGAATTTCACATAGGAGTAAGGTCTTTTGTAAAACGATTATCACTTCACCGACGGTAATCAAGAGTGCAGAGGTTGTGCCCAAAAATATTTGTCTCACTGCGCCCCTTGAACTCCCGGAAAGTTTGGGTTAATAACGTAAATTTTTGCCTAATTTATAGTAGAGGTGTAACTCATTGCAAGATGTTTTTATATGCTATCCCTAACAGCTGAAATAAACCCAACCAGATGCAACTGAAATCAAACCAATAACCCTAATTTTTTATATTTGTTTTTCACACAAATATGACTACAAAGATTCGAATTCTTCGCTATGTAATCACGATGTTTGTTACTTTGGAACATCCCTTTGTAACAAGCCTGATAAAAACTGTCCCCGGTGAGAAATATCCCGCACGGGAGTACCCTTTCGACATATGACATTTATTGTCCCCATTCAGACTTATGTTCCCTCTGGGACGTCATCAGTGGTGGCGCCAGAAACTTTCCAGCGAAGGGCTTGACCTCCCGGCAGGGGAGCCAGATTGCCAATCATAGCGCAAACCTGAAAGTTCAAAACTGAATGATTCACAAAATATGTATTTCTGTCTTGTTAACGCTACAAGTTTTGGCGGGGGAAGGTGGTGGCTAGTAGCGGCGCCACGAGAGGACTGGGGGAAACGTCCCCCCCCCCCCACAGTTTGTTGCAGGAGAAATTTTTCATTTCGTCTTAATTCGATGTGAAAATGTTGGGGGAGGGGCAATATTTTGGCAACGTACTTTTTGTGATGTAATGCTATGATTTTCAAACTGCCTTTACGTAGCAAAAAATTTGTCGTAGGCCTGTTATGGCCGTGGTGGCTGTTAAAATCAAAGTCCTGAAGGATTTTGCATAAGATTGATATAATACTCTTTGGAGTCTCTGGAAGCATCGTTTCTCCTAGTGACTACAGATAACCAAACTATTTCCATTTCAACTGTACAGTATTGCAATTAAAGATTTGCCAACATAGGCTAAGGTGCTGGTGGTAACTTAAATGGTCCATCGCTTATTTTAGAGTACTATACACTAGGCAGCCAATGGCTTTGTTCGCTTCAATGTGATTCTACCGATATGATGTGCAAAATTGGTTCTTTTCAAATAAAGAAATACAATTATTAAATTTACTATTCTTGTAAGTGGAACATCGTTGAAACAGCCTAGAACACTAGAGTAGTATAAACTGCAAGGAAATTAAATGTTTCTTGAGCACTTTCCAACGGGGGGCTAGCTACATCGAATGGAGGGGCTTTAGCGCCACCACTGCCTTCCCTATATACCTGTTACCCCATGAAGAAAAGGCTCGTTGGGTTTGTTACACAGGGTGTGTCCTAGTGTGGCTTGCTCGTCGCGTGTGTTTTAGATTGGTCTCAAATTTTGGGCCTAGCGAAAGAGGAAAAAATTTCTTTTGCCCAATCCCTTAGCGATATGTTAATCGCCCTTCCCCAATTTTGGAAAATTTCCAATTTCATAGGAACAATTTCGGCTGGAAAAGTAAAAACCAAATTTCATTCAAATTTTGTATTGCTAAGACCTTCCATGCTCGTTACGTTTTTTAAAATAACGATTTAATACCTTGTGACATTTTAACACTTGAATTCTGAAAATATAAAATCGATTCTTGGAGCACCGGCATCCTGAGGAAAAACAACACACGGAATTTTAAAGAAACTTCAAACAAAACATAACTTGATTTAAATTGAGTTTACAATGTCAAACATTTATTTAGTGATCAAATTTCAGATGTATATGGTATAAAATATTGTTCAAAATCGCATTTTACAGTAGCTCAGCTTTATCTTGTTCTTAATTTGTTCTCAGCTTTTGACCAATTTTGATGCTCGTGTTTTTATAAAATTGTTTTTTAAATAAAAAAGAGCGTAGGAATAAAGATTTGAATGCGGAGGATATGCACAGTTGGCAAGCTTTTACCCTTTTGATAAAGGGTGTCGATGTCAACTTTGGGGTCCTTTCTCTCTTCGCGAATCCCCACCTTGAAGTCGCAGTTTTCTTCTCGATATGCTTCTTCTCTCAGAGCGTGTTCCTTGAAATCATCTTCGTTTTTCTGGATCTCCATTTGCACTAACTGTTGTTTTTATTTGAACGATATGCTGCTGGTAATAAATTGCAAATGCCAGCAGTTCTTTCAGGAGCATTTCCAAGCTGACATTCGCTAAACGAGAAATCTGAAAAGAAGGTCCTTATTGCTCTCCTGCTTCATCTTTGTGTCAACAAATGTTCTTGGCTCTAGCATTGCTAAATCCTGATACAGGTCTCTATTTTTCGAGAATCTTCCGTGAATAATCTGAGTTTGAGGCTGTAACCAGATGGTAGTGATGACTCTTCTGCCTCTCTGCTTGGCATTGTGTTTACGCGCTCGAAATTTTATAGCTCTGGTACCGACGGTACAGGTCAGATTAACAACTTCGCTGAAAAAACGGAAACCAGGGTTTGGGTGGTTTGGAGTGCTAGTATTGAGACTTTAATCGCAAAGCAATCAGTCTAGAGCATTAACTCTTCGAAATAAAGTAGAACAATTTCTCCAACGCAAGCAGTGCTTGTAAATTTTTTTTACACAAGGCCACTCTGCCACCCGGGCCAGACCGCTCCTGGAGATATTAGGGTTTCTGGAACATTTGAATTCTAAGTAAATTTGTCGCAGATCGTGGAAATCTGACAATTTCTTGACAGAACGACGGAATTCTTCACTCTTGCAGGACGTGGATTTTCTCGAAAATGACACAAGTAATGTGGAATGTTTATTAAGATTTTATTAAGTTACTGATTTGCGGAATTTTTCACCTGTTTTCTTGTAAAAAGGTCAAAGCTTTGGTTTTCTTGTCAGCAGCAATTATCGACAATTTTGGGACGCGAAATTTTGACTTGAAATGACAGGAACGGCGTACTTCAACCAAACATTTCAGGGAATGGCAAACTTCTCCCCCCCCCCCCCCCTTTATGACCTCCACTTCGAGATTTATTGACATTTAATGTAGGTCTGTTAAGAGGACTTATTAGGGACTCCGATGTAGGTTGGAAAGTTTGGGGGGAGCACGGACAAATTTAGCAAAAGAAATTGATAAAAGCCATATTGTTTTGCAAAAAAGTGCGTCTGCTTTGTGATTATTTTTCCTGCAGATTTATCGAGGGCTTTTCCAAGGTCGTGCAAGATATTTGGGGGTGACAAGGAACATAGTTTTGCAACAGCGTTGTAACAATAGTTGCATTGCATTATGCAAACAAATCTTGAACTTTAACAAAGTCAGTAAGAGACAAAATCTTCTGAACTAATCTTTATGTAGAATCTGAATTTTGCAGTTTACTCATATTCAGTTAAAATAACTTTAGCAGAAAAATTCTAAGACATGTTTTCCATTTTCTACTTTTGTGATAAACGTGTTAGCTAGTTTATGAAGCTGATTGCCATAGTGAATTTTCTTAATCCTTATTGTTGGAAATTAATCACTCTTTTTTACATAAATGATATTTAATACATTAACAATATTTAAGCACAGTTAACCTTCGATAAGATGTTACTCTTATTTCAATGCCCACACCACTAATTTCAATGTGGGGGGGGGCTAAGTTATATAAGACGAAATTGAAGTTAGTGCCTCAAAACAGGGCCTTTTTTGAAATATTTTGCATACCAAAAAAGTGGGGGGCCATGGCCCCTACGCTCCCCCCCCCTCCCCCCGCTGGTGGCGTTGGCCCTGACTCACACAGTGAACGTATAATCACGATTTGGGAATTGATTCGACTTTTTCGATCAATAACCCATGTTTTAGTTTTTCTATGCCATTTAAATATTTCATTTCTAAATAGTTAGTAAGGAAACAATAGCTAATAGGAAATAAAGCACAATAGCTAACAGAATGGTAGACTACATTCTACTTCTGCTTGAAAAGTTTACTTTGCTCTGTAGAAAAATGGGTGGCATGGCCCTCCTCGACCCCCTGGTTTTGCCCTAAATGACCAGGCCTAAATGTTCATGAATAAATTGCCAGGTTGTTTTGCACAAAAGCCAACAAAGTAAACATTTTAAAACCACCCAGTTGTTTTGAATGTGAAAATTTGTGGTTGCACATAGGCGTGTTGGACTCACTCATTAAAAAAATGGATGGTAAAATGTGGCAAATTTGCAAGTAAGAAAATTCATCAGATTCAAAACAGCTTCAATTTTAAATGAAAACGATCATTTCAGAGAACAAAAAAACAAAGACAATTGAAAAACGCAACATTTTTAACATTAATATTGATTCAAACCGCTTTCTTTTTGATGCTCTAAGGAGCACAAATGAAACATCTGAATGGCATGTTTCTTGTTACAGTTGAAAAACGAGAAAAATGTGATAAAAAGTTAAAGTTAACAGTTGATTTAACAACTAAGCATATTTCAGTTGGTAGCAACAATTGACAATTTTTAAAAAGCTAAAAACTGGAAGAACAAATCACTTAAAACTTAAATACAGAACTGTCATAACTGCTGGAGAAGTATCAAGTTTGGTATGACCTCAATGTTGCTTCTGCATTTTTTCATTGGACATATATTTCAGCAATATCAAGACAAAGAACATTTTTATTTTCAACTTTCAGAAATGATTTTTTGTAAGAATTAAACTTTTAATAACTACAATAATATGCTGAGTTATTTGACACTTTGGAGAAGCAATCATTGTGCACAAGACACAAGATCCATAAGTCAATATCATCATACATTGGTAGTCTCTGCTATCAATCTGTATCCTGTACAGCCTTCATTTCCACTGGGTAGCACAACATTGTCTACCTGTGAAAATTTAATTCTGAGTTTTAAAATCACAAATTTAAAGTCCCCAATCACCTCTGGTCATAAGTGTTAAGAAAATATACACCTCAAAACATTTAAAATAAAACATATTTCACTTTTTGATAGCATATTCATCAAATAATTAAAAATTTAAAACAGTTAGAACAACATTGGGGTAAAAAGCTCATCCAAAATTTTAGCCCTTAGAAAATTTGGTTCTAAATAGATTTTTTTACAAAAATTTAGGTTATTTGAAAGTGAAAAAGTATAAGATAACAGTTCCAGCTAAAATCAAAGACAATTTGCAAAATACAGCTTAACACAAGTATTGATCCTAAAAGGTATTGCTTCTTGATTATCAGCCAACAAATTATTAGAGTTTGCGTGTTTTGTGTCTTAGCACTCTATGTGTCATCAACTTTCAAAAATATGAGCCAAAAAGGCTAACCATAAAAATCAGTTTACAGATTCTTACAGATTCAAAACAATTCTATCTTCAGTTGGTACACCATGTCACTGAATCTTCAGTTGGTACACCATGTCTATTGGAAATTTTTGCACTTTAGCACTGAAAATCATTTGGATTAATAACTTACCCTTTTGATCCTTCATTTGTTTTTCCTTCTAAAAATTGCTTCTCCATTTCAAAAATCAATCCCTTAATACTTTCCCGCTTGCCATCCACATGTGACTTTGTGAACCAAGTTTCCTTTTTGATAGGGAATTTATAATTCACTATTGGACTTTCAAAGAAGCTTTCTGCGAATTGCAAGATGTAAATACCACAGTCACAGTCATTGTTCTGACGAGGTATTTTAGGGAAAGACCCTTTGATGTTGTTTTTTGTAAAAATTTTACTTGACTCTGTTCCACCTACTTTTTCTTTCCACTCTAAGGTTAAATAATGTCGCAGATTGCTAAACACTCGTGATCTCCCACCACTGACTAATGAGTCAAATATCAAGATACATGGTTGCTTAAATGTTGATGGAACCTCTTTGCTGTCATCAACATTCTTGTCCTCTTCCTTATCTCTTCTCTCTTCTATTGCTGATGCATCATCTTTGGACCCTGTTGAACAGTCTTTTGGCTCTGGCACACTTTCCTTTGACTCGTAGCCTTTGTTATTTTCATCTTTGCCTTCTGTAGACGATTTTTCAGTTTCTGAAATAGAAATTGTTTCTTGATCAACCTCCATTTGTTCTTCCATATCCTTAGCATTTCTTTCTTTAGCTTGATTCTCAACTTGTACATCTTCTTCATTAACTGAACTTACATTTGGTGAATTGGCTGTGGATTCTTCATCAACTTTAACTTCAGAAGGAAAGCATATCACGACTAGGAACCAATGTGAATGTTCATTTATAGGTATAATTATGAAATCTTTTTCAAATAAGTTTACATCTCTTGTCCACTTTCTAACTTGTGCATGCATTCGTTCGCCAGGGTTCTGAATATCATTAGAAGCAACAAAGGCCTTTTTCGACAGCCTTGTGTAAAAGTATGAGTTGAATATGTATGTCTTTTGTTTTTGCATGTTGTCAAGCTTCTCTTCATAAATATACTTCAAATAGAAATCTATAATGGTGTCATTGAGATAAATCCCTGGCATCAAGCACTCAACATCTGCATTTGTTATGGCTATGCCCCCTTTCTGAGGTGGTAATGGGTATACAAACATAGTTCTAACATTTCTCACAGTTTTTGCAGTTTGGGCTGTTGCACTTCTTGTTCTATGGACCTTAGATGGCACTTGAGACTGTTTTACACAGGCAACAAGCTGTTCACAATCTTGATCTGAAAAGGCACAGACTTTAGCGATCTGTTGTAAAGGCTGCAAATTCTTTTCCAACAATCTTTTAAACAATGATTGCTCACATTCAATGAAAAAAACTATTTGTCGTTTAATAGGATCTTCATTTTGCGCATCTAAGATACATCTGGATAGTGCTTGATTTACAATTTCAGAATACCTTTTACTTGGTATCACAGAAATCATAAATGGCTCTTTATCAAAGTTCAAATTTATCTGGGCCACCTCCACTGAAGACAAAGCTAACTTATACTTTTCATTCATGACTTTCTTGGTATTACCTTCAGTCACTTCATATGTGCATTCAACCTCCACCTTAAGTGTATTATTTTGTAAACTAAGTGGTGTTATGCATCTACCAGGCAAAGAGCCAAGGTGAATACTTTTCACAGGGAGCTCAAATTGCTTTTCAAAACTGCAAAGTGATAGAAGAGGTCTGGAAGCATATCCATTTGGCTGATCATATTCTTGAGAATTATCAGTGGTCATTTTTCCACCTTGCGGTTTCATCCGTTCAGACATCTTTGGTATTTTATACTTGGGTGGGACATTTGGTGAATCAGGACAATCTGAATCAATGTTACTTGACCCCTTTCTGTTTTCAGATTCAACTTTCTCTGTTTTTTCATCACTTGAATGTGTCTGAGACACGTGCTTTCCTCCATCCTCCTCATCACTAGAAATTGTTAAGCAAACTTTCTCTTTAGGTTTTTGCTTTGGTCTTCTTCTCCGTGGAGTAGATTTTACTGGCATTGGACTCTCTTTGGCAGATTTCCATTGATCATTACTACTTGGTAATCTAGTTTCTTCAACCTTTTCTGAGGATGGCATCACAGCAGTCTTATTGTAGAATGTTTCTGGGATTAGAGTGGTCTCTCGCTTGCTGCTTGTAAGACTAAACATACCACAGTTTAAACATCTTTTAAATTCACCATCTAAATAAACACCCTTTTCAGTGCACCTGGGACAATGTTCTAGCACCAGAGAATCTTGATTGGCATTGACTAATGTTGGCTGTCCTCCAGGTATGGCATTGACATTGATAATATTAACTGAATTTCCAGTATCATTATGCTGTGCATTTGAGATGTAAGGTGAAGATATTTGTGGCACATTGGGCACATTACTGCCATAGCACAAAATATTATTCTGGCTATGTGGGAAGCGTTTTTTGAGTTTCACACTGTCAGCATCTTGGCTAGGGCCTGCATGTGGCTTGGTCAAAGGTACTCTGACAGGGCTTGAAAATTTCCTGATAGCTGCATTGGATTGCCGAACGATTCTTTCCCTAATAGTATCATCGTTCTCGCGGCTTGCACTACTCATAATATCTGTCTGCAAAACCAAACAGGCATCCAGTCACTGGATACTAGTGGAGCCTACCTTCTATCAAAATTGCCTCGAGAGTCTAGGCAACACGATAAAAGCTATCAAGAGGATATCCTGGTGGGTACAAGTACAGATGTCTTATTTAAATACTGGGATCCACAGTAGATACGAAAAATTGACAAAATATTCGGCCTACATTCCGCTGTTGTTTTATTCCAAACTTTCTTCATATGGCAGCCACAAGCTCATCGCAAAAAATATCACAATACGTTCATTGATATTTGCATAGAAATTGAAGCTTGCGCTTGACTTTCGTTCGCTTTTATTTGATTGATGTGAAATCCTTACAGTCAAATCCGAACGAAATCGCCGTCCAGGTTGTAATCTTCAAGATTGCCATGAACCGATAGCCTCGTTATCGCATTCTCGCCAAAGAGTTTCCTTGCATCCTTGAATGGCAGAAGGGAAAAGTTAGTGGAACAAGTGTGTTAGAAATGGTCCAAGTCTATGAAGCCAAAAAGCTGTTCCTCGTTTTCATTTTTATGATAAAGAACCAAGAAATTATTTTTGCTACTGCAGGTGTCTCTGGTATGTTATATTTTTTACTTTGAATTTATAATCAAGTTGAATTGAAAAACAGGATAATTAAAGTCTGGTTCGTTCCGTTGGAGGGGAGTGATGTGGGGGTGGTGTGGGGGGAGTGATGTGGGGTTGGTGTGAAGGAGTGGTGTGGAGTGTTGTATGGGGAGTGTTGTATCGTTGTACAGTGTATTCAGGTTTGGTTAAGGTATTTTGGGCAAAATAGCCCAAAGGAGCTGGGGGGGGGCATGACCCACTTATTATGCAAAATTTTTGGTCCCATGTGGCGCTGGCCACCAACAAACCTATCATAAAGTCCCTGAAGTCCAACATTTTAAAAATATTCATTAATTTTAGTGGCCAAAAAAATTACAGAATTTCAAGGACCCAAACTTATATTTCAACAGGTGGCTCAACACCCAAAAGTATTTTTACCCAAATTTTAAACCTTCAAAAATACTCTGAGCATCTATATTTTGCATAAGCCAGGGTATTTCTTTAGAGACAGTTCCTGGGTTGTTCTCCGCGAGGTTTTGTTGTTAATCAGGTGGATATGGGACAGGAAACATGCAATAAGTGGAACAGCTTATTCAGATCTTTTTAAAAAATGGTGTTATCAACCTAACCAAATGGGCATTTCTAACCCCAATTTCCCCTGCATGGAAAAATTCACCTCATGAAATTGACTGCTGTGAACACATTTGTAAAGAACTGTGAGTCAAAGTCGGAATGATATGCTTGACATTCTTTAAAATCTGATGTTGTGTTGCATTCAAACCGGAATATCCTTGTTTTCCCACTATTACTTGCCATGTTCTCAGTCACATTTCAAACAGAGGTTGGTTATTTTCTAAAGCAAATAACTGGAGACAGAGTGGTTCTTTGAACTACTTTGTGCAAATCAATATTTTTGGTTGGCAAATTTGAATAGATCTTACTGCACATGCACACATTGAAAAGAATTTGTTTCTTGCATAATAATTTGCATAATAGAAATACAGCTTTACCCTCTAATCTTACTATTTTAGCTACCCTACCTTTTAGAAGCAACACTTCCTTTTGAAGGCAACAATAAAGTTAAGACCTCGTGAATCTCAGTCTTTCGTGTTAAGGGAAAATTTTTAGTTATTTTTCAAAGTTAGGCAAGGCAAATAAAAATTTTCTGTAATAGAAAACAGTAGTTTTAAAAAGATGATAGAACTGCATTGAACTACAGTTTAAAATTTGCAAAACCTCTGGGACCATCTTCATACTTCAAGCCTAAGAATTCAGTTAAGAATCCTGCTGCTACCACGCTAAGTTCAAAATCTTCTTCCACATGTAAATTTGCAAGCAGATTGAGTTTCTGAGATGCATGCTGTAAGCTGGGTCTAATTGGCTTTGCCTAGCTGCAAACATTTGCTGGGCTATAAGTGAAATTAATTTGATTTGTTAGTTTAAATACTTATGTCAATACTTCCATATACAGTTGAATCTGCTTACAGTTACTCTGATTAAAGTCACACTGCTGGTTACAGTCACATAAAATTTGGACCAAAATATGCAAAACTATTTATATTTAGCCCTGCTGACAGTCACACTGACAGTCACAAGTTTTGGTTAAAACCAAAATTGCAACATTTGGTTTAACTATGAACAGATTCTACTGCATTGCATAATTTTCAATGGAAACGAAAGGCATCATCTGCAGAATCTGCTTATGTGTGATCATCATAGTTTCATGTGACCTCTACAGCCATTTTGACAAAATCTGCTTTGAATGCCAGTATGAAGCAGTTTTGTGTGGTCAGTTTCAGGTTATCATCATCAGGTTGTCAAATAGAATTACTGCTTGAAGATCATGACTCAGCATATTTTGGGGTAGCTTCTTCTTTATAGGCCTGCAAAGAGGTGGGCAAGGGGGAAGATTTCCACAGGCCCCAGGCTGGAAGGGACTCTAAAAAGTTATAAAACAAATCTAGATAAGATTCTCTGATAATTGCCTTCATTATGAGCATAAAATGATTATTTGAAATGAGTCTCTGTGAGATCAGCTCCTCTTCTAGATTTATGGGTATTTATGCTATCATCGGTTTTGATGCCATTTTTAGCTGTTTGACACAACCTCATAACCTCTTGTAATTTTGAGTGGGCTAACAGCATGTCAATGACATTTATCGACTACGGTTTTAGTTGGCAGTATAGAAAAACTGTTTAGGAAAACTTTTACTAAAAAAAGGTTGTTTATGTTTCCTATCGTAAAGCCCGGCCTATTTCGAGTTTTTATGCTTCTAGTACCCTGGAAAATGCACTCTTTTAAGCAAATTTCTCTAAAGCAATCCTCCTAATCCTATTGAAAATTCTTTTTTTGCAAACAAATTGAACAGCAAATAAAAACAACTGGGACAATTTCGCCATGGTTTTGAGAAATACCATGTTGTTAGTTACTTCTAAAGCTGGGTAACAAGCAGCACTGGTTTTCAATTTAGATCCCTCTTTCAATCTTAGCATAAGAAAATCTGGAGCTCATAGTGAATTGCAGTTGACGCTTCTATTGAGAAACTTTAGAAGAAATGGACACAAGACACAATTTTACCTAAAGAGGGCCTGGATTTTTCGATTTAGTGCCCACAAGAAATCTCCAAATCATTAGTTTGTTTACCTTCATTCATATCAAGGAATATCATATTTCACCAACTGAGCAACTACCTTTGCTTGATCCGTTTTTGGTTTTATGACATGAAGGTCTCTGAAATACCTAAAGCGTTTCTTCCATCGAGCGGATTTTACCTGAAATGTCCTATTGAAATACTATTGGGGGGTGTATTTGGGGGTGTGACACCCCTACACCCCCCGGTCGCGACGCCGGTCGCAAAGTTTTGAAAGACTGTTCAGTTGCATCTCGTTTTGTTTTTCGCAATTGACCTTATTTTTTACCAACAGGTCAAAAAGTCAAACTTGGGAACCACGGAGCACCATTCCAAAACATTGAAACTCTTCAATTCTCACCAAGTGCCGAAGATTTCTACGAACGCTATGCAAGGCAGTCAAGGCCAGTTTTGATAAAGAATGCGGTTAGAAAATGGCCAGCATTTTACAAATGGCCCAATTTGACTTACATGCACCGGTATTATGGAAACGAACTGTTTAATGTTGAGCTGCGGAAAAAATTTCAAACGTCATTTCCGATAAGAAAAACTCTAAGCCTATCAAAATTTATCGATGAATTTGAAGACAGTGATATATACCTGGACTCCCTTTTTAGCAAAGATTCGTATATGTTGAATGATGTGCACCTCCCTACTCCACTGGATTGCGCCCATCGTAGCATCGCTATTGATAATCTGAATCTCCTTATAAGTAGCGGAAACACCAGCTCGGCATTCCATCAAGATGGCTACGAGAATCTGTTATCAGTCTTGTCTGGAGTAAAAGAAGTAATTTTGTATAACAACAACTACACCAGAGCCTTCAATGCTGATGAATACAAAATAGCAGCAGGAGTTTCTGATATTGACCCAGAGGGCATTGACCTTGATGAACATATAGTGTTTGCTAAAACCCCCTACCAGATTGCAAAGTTACAGCCAGGTAAGTTACTTGCTTTTTTGCATCATCTTGACATGGCATGCTCTAATTAATACCCTTGGCTCTAGTGCCATTTGCTTCATGACTCCAAGCTTATCCTACATACCATGCTTTTATCCTCTGAAAAAGTTTTTGACGAGGTAAGGTTATCCTGGCACCATTCTTTGATACGATCAATCTATTTCCGTTTTTTTATTCCCCTAGCTGCTTCTTCGTTTATTATCGCGAGAACTGCTGCCTTTTCAATCTTGCTGTTATTCCTTGTACAGATATGGAAAAATTATCTTTATCTTTTTGTATCATGCTCTTTTTTAAAAAAATTGTCTAGTTTCTCATTCGAGTGTTTGAGACAGGATCTTACGTTCGATACCTTTTCGAAGCATCTTTATTCAAAACTAACAACTTTCTGCAGTCTATATATTACAGAACTCCAAAACATGCAAAGAACGTACCCATACTCAGCTACCGTAGACCTAAAAACCTCCGGGATATATTGGTTCATGCAAGAATAAAAAGTGACACACCCAGTATCCTAGAGGCACTTACAAATACCACTCGCGACGTAACTGCATAACATGCCAACACATCACGGACAGTACTACTTCTTTTAACTTTACTAACACTGACAAAAACTACGACATAAAACAAAGACTGGACTGCAACTCTACTAACGTTCTTTACGCATTACAGTGCAAACGCTCTTTAACTAACGGACGCAAGCAGACGACTGAAAGACAGATTTAACGAACACAGACGAGATATTATCAAAAAATCTGGTGTTGCAAAACACTTCTGTAGCCCAGAACATACCATCAATGACCTTACTGTAACACCATTACTGAAACTCAACGACAAACGAGAGAGTGTCCGACGAGCCAAAGAGCAATACCTCATTGGCCTAGCAAACACTCTCACACCGAACAGCATGAACAGAACCACTGACCGTTAACCTTACAACAACATTATCATTATTTCATATTATAGTACTTCATCCCCACTACATTTTCATTCCACCACCACCACCACCCACCCTCTCTCATTCGCCACCCTTGCCTCCTCCACCACTGCGCTGCATTCACACCATTCGAGATTAGCCAATCCGACACCACAATCGCCAATCGTTAACTTTTGCTCTGATGAAGCCCCGTATGCCGGGGCGAAATATTAGCCTTTACTGATTTACGTGTATTTATTGTTGTTTATTCTCGGCGTATTGCGGTGGTTCTTATTTGCTACATTTTTATCGACTTTTCGCCGCAAGAACTCCTTGGAGCCCGTCGAGCAGCCTGCTACAGTGACCTTTTCCTTAATTCACACTATTTTTACATCCCTCCATTTTTTAGCATTCAAAACCATTTTCGATGCATTATCCAGGATCTTCTTTTTTTATCATATAAAGCATTCAATTGCAAAATTGGGGATGGGGGCGCATCGAGTTTAAGATATTGGTCACTGTGCATCTTTGATTAAACTCAGTCATCCAAACCTCAATTAACCGAACACAACTATGAAGATGATGCTTCCAAACAAATTTCCGTATAACCGAACGGGTTTCACATTGATTCGCTCTGCTTTTTTCTTCTCTAGGTGACAAATTGATAAAAATAAATTTAACGTTTCTTAATTTTTGAAGTTGTTGAGGGTGATCTTTTGGACACACTAGTCCATCTGAACAGATTGAAAATTGGAAAGGGCACTGAGGCGTACTGACGCAACAGTAAATGAAAGATATCTTCACTTGAACAAAATATCGCACATTGTCGGTGCAAAAGGTTTGTTTTAGAAGGTTTTGAGTTTTTCGTTCTCCATACAGGCCCAAAAGTCTTACAGCATATCTATTCCTTTCCCCCACGTCGTTCTTAAGGCTATCCAAGGCTTGCCTGTTTTTGAGAAGCTTCATGAAAATTCTACGAAAGTGCGAGGCAAAACCAAGTTGGGCCTTTCTTCGATCTCTTCACATCCCAATATCAATTACACAGCAATTTGCATTGAAGACGACAAAGAGCTAAAGTAGATAGGTCATTCAGTACTGGGAAAAATATTTCTCTGAGCCTTCCACAAGACTTCATTCTAGGCTCCCTGCTGTTCAATAGCTAGATTAACAATGTTTTTATCTGGTAAAAGATACTGCTTTATCCGACTGGAATTATGCAGATTATACGAACATCTTTGCCTGTTGATCTGATCTAAGCAAAATATTAGAAGCACGTGCGTTATAAAATAGTAGAAGGGGGTTCTCACTATTTATCACCATGGTTCCATTATAACTGATTGAAATGAACGAAGGAAGATTTCACTTTTGGATTTTTGTGAATTGCGAAGGGGTAGTCTCTGTGAGTATCTGTGGGTCTGTGATTAAAGAGAGCACCGAACAAACACTTTTTGGAGTCCCTTAACAAGTTCTTCAAATCATATGCAAAGATAGCACTTTTAATTGGTATGTTTTAACCAGAGAAAATTACAACTGCTCTTGAATGAGATATAGAAAAATGTCAACATCCTGAACCCAACATCAATCAAAGGTGCTTTAGTTTCTAGAATCTACATAAGAGGCCTTTAAATATATACATTCATCTTATCTTCTGCAAGAACCACCACGTTAAGCAAAGACAATGAGATTATAACAAGATTACTTCTTTTATAGGAATAAAAGTGTTCCAATCACTGAATATTTCTAAACGAAACACAAAATCTGTACATGAGTTCAGTGTAGATAATTTTAAACTCTTTCTCCATTGAGGCTTTCTATGATAATTAATTTAAGGTGTATTGTGAAAAGTCGGCCTAAGTTATAATAAAGTCCTTGCCTTAGGGGTGAATAGTAATTAGTTGGCTCAAAACATAGCTAAATCTCTTCGCCAACTGTAAGCAAATAATAACAAATTACCTATGTAATAAAGACATTTGTATTTGTAGTTTATTTCGAATATAAAACGAAAAGTTCTCAATATTTAAAATGTCCACGCCCAGTATCTCCATAATAATCCCCTGGATGAGCAGTGAGGTGAAAAACGGAGGACAATGAAAGAAGCATCGCAAGCACAGAATCACAGAATACAAATGACTATTTTGTGTTGCAAGTTCAACACGAGAGAAGTAACAATGCAACACCTTTGCCGGGAGTCCTATCTGATAATGATGCTATCAGCCTCTTTCCCTTCCTTGATTGCAGTCTTTAGTTTCTTCTTTTCCTGGATGGAACCATTTTTATCATAACTGATTATTCCATGTTCTAAATTACAGCATTTCATCGCTCGAATTCGTTACTTAAAAAACGAATGCTGTGGCTTGTGAATGCTTAGCTATAATTTAATTGCTAGCCATTCTTTAGGGTTGTGGATTTGGCCCTAAAGTCCTAATGAGAATTTTGCATTTTATCTCTCAGGAGACATGTTGTACATACCAAAGTATTGGTGGCATCATGTGCGCTCTTACAGCAATCCAAATATTGCAGTAGGAATGTGGTTTGACATTTTCAATTTTGATAAAGAAATGGAAAGCCAGTATCTTGATGATACAGAACAGGTTGTAAAGGTATTCATTTATAAAATTCATTTATCAGGTTTATCCGAATCAAGAATTAACCAACTATTTTGAGGGTGATCACATTTTGCAAAATACAGTTATGTTGGTCGTATGTTGGTAAAGATGGTCTTTTACATGTGGTTTGAAAGAATAAGGATTTTTTATGTTGTGTGTACAATTAGAACAATAATGGGTTGACGTTTAACCTGCTAACCAAAGTCAAAAATTTATATCAGAAGCATGAGAGAACAGGGCACCTGGTTGAGCAGAGCCAGGTCAGAACAACACTTGATTAAAACAACAGAAAGTTAGGAAATTTTGTTCTGGTACCCTTTAATCTAACCTATCTAATATCTTTTCCGCTTTATGGTTAGTTGTATTGTAACTTTAAAATACATTTCCCCACAGACAACAGAAGCATTCATTGAGCTGCTGGACAAAGAACCTTTGAAGATTCACTGCCTTAAAAATGTAAATAGAACTTCATTCTTTTCCATCAGCCCATTTGTGAAAAGAAGAAATATATGTGCTTAATATATAACAGAACTTTCAGTAGCTTTTATAGGAGGGTTCGGCATAATTTTAATCTTTTGTACTGGGTTTCACTTGGAAAAAGAGGTTAAAATATTTTCATATTTTTGAATTTTGAATTAGGCTTATATTAACTTGCACGCAGACTCAACTGGTTTTACCAGAGATAAATATAGTTGATTTGAAATTTAGCTGATTGGAAAATTCGGTGTTTCTCTCCCAGTAGACAAACCCTAAATTTTCCATTCAACTAAATTTATCTCTGGGAGAACCAGTTGAGTCTGCGCACAGGCTAGGCTTATATATGCTATTTATAGTAATATTGGAAATAAAATGCATCAAATGTGGTTTAGCACAATCATTAAGCAAATAGTTTTAAAAAAGGCTTTGATAAACAAACATTTTTGACATACTAAAGCTTTTTCCTGAAAGTATTCAATATATAAAACATCAGAACATTGATCAAAAGCTCTAAGCTAAGAAATATAAATAGCCCGTTGTAAATCAAAAGAGGCCAATATAGCACATGACTGTTGAGGTTGCCCAATCAGTGCCACTTGCCTATTGACAATGTTACAAAGGTAGTGCAATCTGGTGGCCCATGATTTGTAAATGGCACTGAAAAACAGAAGTTGTCTCATTCCTTCAGTATATGATAATGACTAAAGGTAAGTAGAATTATCATATGGGTGTGGATCAGGAGTACTGAAATTAGAAATATTAGAAATTAGAAATATTCCTAAGCTATGGATGGCCCTCTATGCAACATAGCTGTGATTTTTTGTTCTGTGAGGCAGAAAAAATCATGTTTTTGTAGTTCATTAGATTTGTCAGAAGATGAAAAATCTAGCTTCAGCAAAATGTTTACTTCCTGATCAATTTTCTAAGACAAAAGAGGCACATAGTAGTTTCAAAGTTTTCTTTTTAATTACAAAGGGGTTTGTGGCAGAGTATTAAAGATGAGGCCCACAGAGAGGGGGCAAGGGGGCAATAGTTCCTTGGCCTGTAAGCAAAGACTCTTAATAGCATGGTAATTTTAAGAAAAACAAATCTGTTCTGGGAAAGTTTAACAATATTTTATGAATATTAATAGCAGGTAAAGAGAGAAAGTTAAAAGGAATTTTACATCCATACACATTTTTGGTTTATCGCTTGGGTAGGAAGGGGCCTATGCACTGGGCCTGTCCTTGGGCCCAGTGTGGCTCTCTGTGGCTCTGTTGAAGACAAACAGAAGAATAACAAATTTCTTGAAAGCTAGATGGACTTTCTCAATAGATATTAAATTTTTACATAAATTTTTTTACAATTTATGATTTACAGATTTAATAAGTATTCAGTATGAATGACATATCCAAATTGACAAATTTGTATCCTTTAGATTTTCTGTCTTGCAACTCCTTAATAGTTGTAAAATGAATAAAAATTTGAGTAAAAAAAACTATAAACAAAACTCAATTTGATATTTACAATTTGGATGTAGCATTCCATCTCTATTTCAATTTCAAAATGACTATCTTCTACTAAGCAAGCCAGATAAGCCATTTTCAGAATTTGTAAGTTTCACATATACACACAGGCATCTAAGTTATATTCATTTTGTCTGACCACTTTTGAGGGTTGCCATAGCAATGCCTCCAACTAAAAAGAGCACAGTTGCACCTTGAGCCACTACTCGAGTTCTCATCATCACTTGTTGAAGTCTCTGGTTACCAGTTTGGAAACCATAGAATCCATATGCTAATGCTCCTACTGTTGCTAGCATACCTACAGAAACAAATTTTGTTATTTTAAGCATAAGGGAAATTATTTGCACTACTAAACTTCTGTTGCAGAGCAATGTTGAAGTCAAAGACTAAAGATACAACTTTTGTTTTCTTTGGGGGGGGGGGAGTGATACAAAAATACAGAACAAGCATTCATACATATGAGAAAGCAAATTCAGCGTGCAATTTGAAATTTTGGCAAGCATCCCTACACTGGCGCTGATCTTTGTATGTGTCTGTCAAACTTCCAGAGAGCGATCCTTTAAATGCAAATGCCAGATTTATGCCATTAAACAACAGAAATGCAATGGGAATTCAATGGTCCACCCCGGGTATCTGAGACCTAACCTGCACGGATTCCTCAGACTAGAAACTTTGATTCTTGCAGAAGACAAGTTCACTTTAACAATTTGAGACTGTGTGCAAGGATATATTAAATGCTATTATGGAGGGATTTTGTAGGGCCAGTGTAGAAAATTATGGATATGTGTGCCTTGTGCAAATGCAAAATTTCCCATTGTATTTCTAATGCTAATTGGTGTATATCTGACCTGTGCTTAACATGGATTCCACCCTGGTGGGCAATATATTGTGGGCACACAACAAAATAAACCAAGTGGCCCTACTCGGCCCTACTTGGTATGGAGAATGGACCAATAGGTTATTGACCTATTTTTATCAGGTTTCAATGAAACAACATCACTTGGATATCTAGGATGCTTAGCATAACATGGCATTTTTGATGTAAAATATATTCTTGTAGTTAAAAACCATCACAGCAGCTTTATTTTAACCATTAGGCATTAGGGTGGTCATGAAGATATATTATCACTATGGCGTGCAAGTAACTGTTTCATAAAAAAGAACCCATGCATAACCGAAATACCTTATCTCGTTTTCATACATTGTAGATTGAAACACAACTCAGTTGTACGAAAAATTCCTTTGAGTTCATAAATTACATAAGGGTAAGAAAAAGAGTCGAGGATATTTTTCATGGTGATATAGGTCAATAGTAAACTTACCGACTGGAACGAATGGATTCTCTTTTATTTTTCGTTTGAACTTTTCCCCAGTCGTTTCAGGGGCTGTTGTTGGCAGCCATAAATGATGGAACTCTTCGGGTTTTGGTTTTCCCGATGACATTTCGACGGTTCAGGAGAGGTTTTTTGTTTTCTTGCTAACTTCAAGTGTTGTATAACATTGCAGAATTTATGTGACCTCCTGTGGAATCGTTGCTTTTTTAAACGAGGCTGAAGCCTGACATCAGTGGAAAATCGACGAAAGCAATACGACCACGAGAACCTTATGTAAAGAAATATAATTTTAAAATGAATTAGATTTAATAAATATTGAAAGTCAATAAAAAGTATTCATTGTACTTAATTTATATTGATATGTTTAATTTAATTTATATTTATTTTATTTTATTTTATATATTTAATTGTTAAATAGATAACAACTTGAGTAAATGAAACTATAAACAAAACTCAATTTGATATTTACAATTTGGATGAAGCATTCCATCTCTATTTCAATTTCAAAATGACTGTCAAAATGATTTGATTTATTTTAAAATTACATCTCATTACAATGGATTCTCGTCGTCGTATTGCTTGATTATTTTCGTATTATTACTCATTGCAAGATTCAAAGAAACCGGCGGAGAGCCTATCCTGCGTTTCTTCCTTCTTACATACGAAACTAATTAGCATGGTATTGAAAGTTCCATTTTCTTTTCTAGCCTGTTTTGAAAGAAGCAGGCTTTGCCTCCGATTCTGTTCCTTCTTTTTTTGCTCAAATTGAGCTTGTTGGTTCTGCAAATACTGCAACTGGAAACTGAAAAAGAAAACAAAATCTTCCACAACTAAACGACTCGTATGAGCTATGAGGGCAGTGTTGGCGAAAAACACAGTCGATCCATTCTTTCATTTTATTTTCTTATATGCCAAGTTTTATGCCATGTTCAATGAGCGACTGAGATCTTTTATGCGCATAAGTACTCTGTTTTCTCCTAACCACATTTTCACACCGCTTTCTTCTACGTTTTTAATCAGATCAAATATAAACACAACTAGGTTAAGACCTGGCTTGTAGACTGAAGAAAAATGGGTTGAAGGAATAAAACATCAAAACTATCTCAGCGTAAATGCGAATGGAATAAACATTTAAAAATAGTTTTGGCTTTTATACCTTCAGCAGATACTTCTTCTATTTGTATCCAATTCTTGTGCAGAAAAAGGAAAACTATTCTTTCCACTAATAACAAATAAACGAGGTATTCTCCGGTTGATCAAGGAACTATCTATCCGAAAACTTACCACTCCCACAATTTTTGAAGAATTCGCTTGTGTGATGTGAAGAAACACCTGAGGCCGTGCCGTAAAGCTTTTATTCAATCTGAAAAGTTATCTCATATTAAGATGCATATCAGGTTTGCTTGTTTCGGTCAACATAAATTTTTAAATAATGCTAGTCTGAACAAAAATCCCCCACTTTCATACCTATCAAAAATCAATAGTACTCTTGTGTTATTACTAAGCGCTACATTATTACAATATTATTTCACGTCTGTTCCACCTTTCTCAAAGCCTTCGAGAACTGTTTGCCATTATTTTTCATGAAATCAACTTGAAATGTTTTCATAGTATTGCAATCCTTTAGTCACAACGAGGCGTGGTCAAATCGCGAGGAAGGACCGGGATACTGCTCATTAAAGGAAAGCGGCAGATACTTAAAGGGTTTAAACCATCCTTCAACCATAAATTGACCAGTCAGTGAGTGTGATTGCATTCACACGCTTATTGATTGGCTAATATTGATTGGGTACAGTTACTAAAATTCTGTCGTTTTGGCCAAAATTCTAAATCGAGAGCATGGCCTCCCGTTTTTGTACGAAAATAGGTTGTTACTCAAGGTCTATCATAGTATTGGCATAAATTATACAAATATGATAGAGAGGCATTTTCATTTCAAATATTCTCAACCATGTATATTATATTTTGATGTTTAATTTTAGGCTGATAGTTATTTCATCAATCACCTATGGTCAGTTATATATTTTTACTAGATCAACACATGTACATAATACTCAGTAATCTAATTTTATGTTAATATTTATGTTATTAAACGCCTATGAGCTTTGGGGATATACGGCGCTATAAAAATGCCTACATTATTATTATTATTATAATGCTCGGTTTTACTTCAATTTTCAGCACTTGTTTCATCACATGCCAGTCATAGCTGCAACTTACAATGTCTCCCCATGATGTCTTTTCCAAAGTGGTCATAAAATGTGTGTTATGTAGAAATGGAGGGATTTATAGTTTTAAACATGAAGTTTTTAATACATCTTAATTTAGAGCATTTTTTGCTGTACCCTATTCAAGAATTTGACAATACTTCGATACCCCATCAATAATTAAAAGCTTTCGCGACAATTTGCTTACAAAATGAGTTCGCCATAGGCGATGTTTTCAATGCTTTTCAAGGAAGATTTACGTGTATTTTCAAGGCAAAGCTCTTTTAACTGCTTTAGATTGTACCTAGAAAGGACCTAATTGGTAAGCCCTTTTTAGATTTTGAAAATAGCCCTATTTGGTTAGCATTAAGTAATTGGTCTTACTGGAAATTGAGGCACAAAAAACGTTCATGCCCTAACCATTATAACCTGCAATTAAATGGAAACATTTAAACCGGCCCGAAGAGCTAGAGCAGGGCCTATTGTGAGAAATTTTCAATACTGCACATTTATAATTATATTTTTGATAGGAAATTGTTTTGTTGCAATCAGTGCGAACCCCAGGTTTCTTAGCCATGCAAGCGTAGCGAGGAAATGCCCCGAATTTGGAACAGGTGTATAGGCCATGACGCAGAAATCACAAAAAGACAGACGATGATATACACAATCAACAATAACACTTCAAAACAGCAACAAAACAAACAGTATCTACAAAACTTGAATAGAAACATAGGGCCCGTTTGCACTAGAGCGTCAAAACCTTACAAAGTTATTCCCTATTATTTTATCTTCAAAAACGGCATTAGATTTTCAGGAAACTGAATAATTGGTACAGTGCGAACGTTAAAATCGGTTTTTCATCAGACAACCTGATTTTCACTAATCCCTCAAAGGTTCCGTCGTAGAGCCCCGGAGCAGCACTTTTTTATGAAAATCAAAGATTAACCAGCATGAAACGGGAAAGAAATGTCATCATGTCTGTCGCACTTGCGATTCTGTGTTTGTGTACTCAATATTCAAGAAAAGATGAACCAAAACCGAGCAAACCAATCGCCTTTTTTTAGAATAAAACTAATAATTTTGGCATAATGTTTAGAATGCTCCAAAATGTTATTCCTTCAATCATCAAGCTTTTCTTGAAATCTATTCGTTCATCGTATGAAGTTTGCTTTAACCAGGATGCTTCGGGCCGAGGGAAACTCCAAAACACTTGGGATCTGCTTGATTTTTTACTTTTGCAAAGTCGATAAACTAGCGTGTTTTGTAACTGCTTGTACGACGGTGAAGCAAAAATAAAATTGCTTTGTTGCTGATTTATAACTGAAACTGCATTTGAGACAGAAAAAAATGCCAGCGCTCCTCGTCCAAATGTAAGAGCTTATAGACTGTCGTCCATCAAATGTCACTAATGACAGCGCAGGCACCGCGGAGCGTTTAGAAAAGTGGGGGGTCTAAAAAAAGTGGGGGGGGGGCTAAAACCTTATAAAAAGAGTTTTTACTGGTAGTTGAGTACTAAACATTTGGCATTTTTTTCAAAAAGTGGGGGGGCTAAAGCCCCCCTGCTCCGCTGTGCGAACGTCATCATTGTCATCATCATCATCATCATCATCATCAATCAACAATTAAATTAAGTAAAGTACAATTTAATACTTAAATAAGCTCTTTACATCTAAATGACAAATTGGAGCTTTTTACGGAAAAAAGAAAAATTAATCAATTAACTGTTTGAACGAAAACCTTACAAAGTTTGTCAGGTTGAAAATGTCCCCTTAACTTTATTACCGCGAGATTATCAACTTTGACAAACTTATGTCAAAACATAATGCGAACGGGCCCATAGTCGTTTATCTCTTGTAAACGGAGTCACTATCTCATGTTTTGTCTGGACAGTACAACTAAAATCAAATCAAATCAAATCAAAACTTTTTTTCAGCAACAAATCGTAATTACAAGATACGTCATGCTAGTTGTTAGGATACAATCATTAATAACAATAAAGATTACATTACAAGGAACAACATAAGATATTATATGAGATGAGCTGATGGACACATGGAAAAAACTTCTGCTAGATGTCCAGAGCATGATAGGGCAAATGATAAATTGTTACTGGATGTTTTGTCTTCGACAAGATCAAATTACGGAATTTACAGCAATGCTGACATTTACAGGAGATGTTTTGTTTTTGGTTCTGGGCATTTCGCTTTGTTTTTAGTTTTGATAAGAGAGTCTTTCCGATGGTCATACGACAATTACAATACATGAACTCTATATCGAAGAAAATTCACATTTTGTGAACAAAGCAGAAAAATCTGGGATAGCCGCAATCAGACATTTTCACAAATACCAAAATTCAATACTGCACATTTTCGAAATCAATACTGCACATTTTTAAATTAATACTGCACAAAGTGTGTAATACTGCACACTACAATAGGCCCTGCCGAAGAGAAAATTTTTCAGATTTGGAACTTCCAGTTAGGTATCGCATTTATTACATTAGGGCCAGTGAGTCCTGGGTCTAGAATATTGCTTGCTTACAGGGTGCCCCAAATTTAAGCAAGACTAAAATAAATTTGTAATAATTTTGGGAAGGCCCATCGGGCAACCAGTGGGAAGTACCTCGACCGACCAGTCCACCTCTGGAATGAAAATGTTAGAAACAGTGACAAATAGGGTAATAATACCAACCCAAGGTGATCGTACCAGTCGCTGATACACAAGCCTGTATTTCATAGTTGTTTCCTAATTGTTCACTGTGGACCATGCCAACTGCACCCCTCTGATGTATAAAAAGAATGGCCTCGTAATTTGCCTAAATGTTATGAGAAAATATCGAAGGTTGGGGGGGGGGAGGTGGGGGTGCAAGCATATTTGCGGGCAACGAACAAGACCAGTAGATACTATCTGGCCGAATTGTCTGATTTTCTCAGTTTTCTGAGAGACTACCAGAGCCAAAATCTCAGCCTTGAGTTTCAAAATACGTCTCTATTCATTTCTAATTCGAATTTCAGTATAAAAAGGATGTAATCATTTGGTTCGCATTTATTCTGCGGTGCATACGGGAAAGCAAAACAACATATTCGTCAAGAGATATTTTCCTTTTATCGAAACCGCCCGTTCTTCAATATGAAAAATTGAGATTTATGTCAGTATAAACCACAGCCAACTTGGAACAGCAACATCTCATTGGCCTGGCGAACACTCTCATTCCCAACGGACTGAACAGAACCACCGACCGTTAACTTTACAACACAACTGTAATAGGGGTTTTTGCAAATGAATGCATCTTCGAGACAAAATTGTCTTTTGATAAGAATTGCGACAATGATACAAAATATGAATTTTCCACCGTCCATCTTCCGATCAAATGATCTTTCACGCGCGATTCCATGAATAACAATACATATCCTACAAAAACCATAGTTCACGTCGACAAGATCTTTCACAAGCATCTTACCACATAAGATAAGTAAATCGTCGAGAACCTGAAAATACATATAATCAAATCTTAACCTTATCGCTCTTAACCATAACTCGAACTACTCTGAAAAGTAACACGCCCAAAATATAACATGAAAAAAACTAGTTGAAATACTACATAGCTACGTATATACATAATAATGGTTAGTACAAAATGTATTACTCCAAAGACTAATTACATATGCTGAAAAATGTTATCAAATATCCCTAAAGAAATAACTAATGAGTCGAAAGATGCAATTAGATAACAGAGGAATCATAAACAATCAAATGTGCAAAAGGTGATAAGTTACGTTTAGACTATGGTTACAAATAACAAAATAAACAAAGTCTAAACTAGTACTATTACACAACTAATCACCTATCACGCCGTCCTCACAACCCACACCATTTTTTCCCTACCATTATAATAATTATCACCAATATTACTATTATTAACATTCAATTGTTCTCAGTTCCATCGCAATTTTTATTGCTATTATAGTTTTTCTATTCATATTCATAGTCATCATTATCATCCCATTACATCAATCTCTACAGCACCACCCACGTTCCCTCACATCACCCACCACCCTTCCCTCCACCTCCTTCCCTATCATAACATTTTTTCTCCACTGCGCTGCATTCATACCATTCAACATCCACCAATCCGGCACCACCATCTCACATTTCAAATTCATTCACTCGCTCGTTTCATTTACTCTGATGAAGCCCTGTATGCCAGGGCGAAATATGAGTATTCGTTTAATTTAATTTATTTTGAAAATTTATATTATAACATTGGGTTCTCGTTGCCGTTTTGCTTTGTCCCTGAATTTTGTCCTCGTATTTATAATATACTCTTTGCAAGAAAATTTGTATCCTCGTCAATTTGGTTTTCAAAAAAAAATTACAACATCGTTGGCTATTTTTGATGTTTGTGATAAGCTAATTGAAGCATTAGAAGCTAGAAAATTTCCTTGTTGTATATTCCTTGATTTTGCAAAAGCTTTTGACACAGTTGACCATACAATACTATTGCGTAAACTCGAATATTATGGCACTAGAGATGTTTCCTTGGAGTGGTTCAAATCCTATTTGAATGAGACATCCCAAAGAGTTTCTGTAGGTGGTGAGCTCTCTAACGACATGGATGTTAAGTATGGTGTGCCTCAAGGTAGCGTTTTGGGCCCTCTGCTATATATAAATGAATGACATCCCAGAAGCATCTAAAATCTTAAATTTTCATCTATTTACAGATGATACCAGTTTGCTGTATTCGCATTATAACTTTAACACCTTAAAAGAAACATTATGTACTGAATTGAATAACATCGCTGACTGGCTTGCTGCTAATATGTTAACCCTAAATACAAATAAATCTCAATTCTTTGTTATCAAGCTACGTCATAAGAAGGAACCTAAAACCATTAATATATCTATTAATGGTGAACAGCTAAAAGAGTCGGATTATGTTAAATACCTCGGAGTTCTGATAGATAAGAATCTCACCTGGAAACAACATATCCAAAAAGTTAACATAAAAATATCCAAATGCCTTGGTATTTTAGCCAAATTAAGACATTTTCTACCCAAGGATATGTTACTTAGTATTTATTTCCCCACACATGAATTATGGTCTGATAAGTGAATGTGCTAAATTTATGTTTGAAGTTTCAAAAGGCAACGTTGATAGCTACATTTGTGACTTCTTTTATCTAACTACCGAGAGTCACAACATTAGCACCAGACAGGCTACTAGCGGTAACTTTTTCCAGTCCCAAATTAAAACAAACTACAAATCTTTATTCATAACAAATGCTGGCATAAAAATTTGGATTAACATACCAAGTAACATAAAAAGTGTTGCTTTCAAGAAGACCTTTTCACGTCTTTTTAAACAATTGTTACTTCAAGAATACACCTAAAAATACAATATTATCCTTAACCCCTTTTCCCCTTTCTTTTTTTACAATCGATTTAGTTTATTATTATCTTTTTAATGTTCATCTTAATTTTTACTCTTATCACAAAAATATTTTCTTAAATTTTAGTATTGAATGCATGTATATTAACTGTACTTTATCTTATACGTGTATATGGCCCGAAAGCTTTTTCAGAGCTCTTTCCATATGTCCTTCAGCAATATTCTGTTAAATTGATGTATTGCTATTCTTCTTGTTTGTATGATTGTCTAATTAAAACAACAAAATTTTGCGTCGGACAGCCTATCCTGCGGTTCTTTCTTTTCACGCGCAAAAACTTTGAACACTCACCCCACCCCAAATACTTTGTGTCAGCCTCGTCTTGAAAATAGCACTGCATTTGTTGCTGGCCGCTTGCAAGAACGAGAGAAGTATGAAAGTTGCCTACGGAAATTATGAAGTTTTGTTATTTGTAGTCAACCTTATAAGCTTATTTCTAAATTCAGAATGTGCTCTCGAAGCAAGGGTACATTTGCTTACTCTTGACAGCACTGGCAAGAAGCTGTCCGTATCAGATGGAGTCATAAATGTTGAGCCTAAAGTGACATTTAAACTTAGAATATCAGGGTCAAACTTGAACAAGTCGGACACCCTGATATCTTTCGCAAAAATTGTCGGGAAAAGAGGTAACTCTTGTGGAGATAAAAGGTCAACTCCTGTTCGAAGTTTCGACGAAGTAATTGAAAATGGAACTATTGGTTTGTTGACGCTGAGCTGGGACACACCGGCCGTTTACTATGTTTGTTTGAAAACCGGCCCGGCGAAGCTGGGAGTCCAGCGATGGATACACCAAGGAGACCACAGTTGGTTGAAGGTCAAAGTAGTCAGCACCCTTTACATACCCTTGTGGATACGAATCTTGCTTGTTATTGTTCTTATTTGCTTATCCGGGTTATTTTCCGGCCTTAATCTTGGTTTGATGTCATTGGAACCAAATGACCTTCAAATTGTCATGAATTGCGGGGAGGGCAACGAGCGAAAGTATGCGGCAAAGATCCTGCCTGTGAGAAAGCGTGGGAATTTTTTGCTTTGTACCCTTTTGCTGGGGAACACCCTTGTCAATTCTTCTTTCACCATATTGCTTGATGATCTCACCAGTGGGCTTGTTGCAGTTGTAGGATCAACTGCTGCTATTGTTATATTTGGGGAAATTGTCCCCCAAAGTATTTGCTCCAGGTACGGTCTTGCTATTGGAGCAAGGACGTTGTTTCTGACAAAAATGTTTATGGTCTTGACTTTTCTTTTGTCTTATCCAATAAGTAAAGTGTTAGATCTTATTCTTGGGGAAGAAATTAGTGGAGTGTATAACAAAAGACAGCTTCTTGAAATGTTGAAACTGCAAGATGAATTTAATGATCTAGAGAAGGATGAGGTTGGGATTATTTCTGGGGCCTTGAAGTATAAGACAAAAGTTGTGCAAGATGTGATGACACCAATCAATGACTGTTTTCTTCTCGATGAAGATGCCATACTTGATTTCAAAACAATGACACAAGTGATCAGATCTGGTTACAGCAGAATTCCTGTCTACTCAGGGGAAAGATCAAATGTTGTGGCACTTTTATATGTCAAGGATCTTGCATTTGTTGATCCAGATGACTGTATCCCACTTCTTAGTGTCATAAAGTTTTACAATCACCAAGTTCGAAAGGTTTTCTATGACACAAGGTTAGAAGAATTTGATTTTCTTAAAAAAGAATTTTGTTTTCTTTTAAGATTCTTAAAATTCTGATATATCAAATATTTTTCACTGTGCAGCACAAAGCCAAAAAAGTCATAAGGTTGTCTTTATTTTATCATTTATCATATATATTATAAACATAGTGTGTTTATTATGTTGTAAAATGTGTGTTTCATTATGCAAAACTATATTATTCTTGGTTTGTATGCTATAGTGAAAATCCTCTGGGTCAAGGAATTCAAGAATTTAATATATATTTTAATTGATTGGATAACTTTAAGAAACCAAGCTTATAAAAAGGATTTTCATAAGCTTGAAACACTTCAGGGCTTGACTTCTGGAAGGTTTGCAATTGTTTCATATTTTCCAAGAAACACAATTGCTTGATGGCAATGTCCCCTGACCCTAGGCAACTAAAGATTTTCTAAAATCCAAACCAGCTTCTTAGCATGTGTGACACTGGGTTAGGCAAATAATGTAAATTCAGAAAAGGGTGACAGGAAGACACCCAGTTACATCCCTGATAAACTAGGTCTTTAATACCCATGCACCAAACCAGAAAAAATTTGCTGATTGGATAAGATTTTATCTGCAAAAGTTGACACATCTCAATACCTTTTTTAACTTTGTAACCACCCTGGTTTAGAAGTTTTCTAGATTGGAAATAAATCTCTAATAAACAGACAATTGTATGTTTTGGTTTAATTATGTATATAATTTATAGGTAACTTGCATTCTTATCCGAAATGATTTTAAGATTTAGATTTTAGATGACAAACAGAACTAAAACCAACCAAATTTAACCTGATCTGTATATCACTTCCCTAGTGGGTTTGACTGCAAATTGTCTGGAAAATCTTGTACACCTGGCCCTAAGTGTCAAAGTCTGCTTTGAGAAACTTTGTATATGTTACATCAGAGTAAACACTTGTATCTTCGAATTTCATGTGCTACTGCCTGTGAAAGAAGCTAGTATTCTAATAATTAGACTGTTTTACTTGTCAAAAAGTTTTCACTTTTTTGTGTTAATCATTTGCAATTAGAATTTGTTAAACCTTGTTGCTACCTAGATAAATGAATTCTCAGTTTCTTTTACTTTCTTTCATAGACTTGATGAAATGCTAGAATGGTTCAAAAAAGGCACATCACATCTTGCTATTATCATCAAAGTTGATGATGAAAGAGATGGTGATCCAGTGTATGAAGCTGTTGGTATTGTAACATTGGAAGACATAATCGAGGAGATCATCCAGTCTGAAATTGTCGATGAAACAGATGTTTATAGTAAGTTTGTTCTTGACTCCATCTATTATTTATAAGAGGACGTTCCTTGAAATGTCTTTGCTATGAAATTAGTCCTTCTTCCAAAAGGAAATTTGCCTATTTATTCCAGTTATTCATCTCTTTATGCTATTCAGCTTGTTTGTTGAAAAGCCCTTTTGCATATTTTTGTGCATAGTCTCTGACTATGAGAAAACGCTTTCATGAAGACATCACTTTCGACAATATTAATGGCATGTTTTGAGCTTTAAAAGCTGCATTGAAAAGCTAAGATAATGTGGTCATTTCAGTAACTTTCTACAAATATAGCTATGCAAACAATCTTTTGGTGGTACAAAACTTGTAAATGGCTTTGAAAAAAGCAAACATTTAGTAAACTAAAGCTTTTCGTCTGACACTCTTCAGAGTTTAAAACGTCAGAACATAGATCAAAAACTCTATGCTAAGAAATATATATACCCAGTTGTGGATCGAAATAGTCCAATCAGAAACACGAGCACATGACTGTATAGGTTGACCAATCAGTGCTGCTTGCCTATTAGAATGTTACCAGTGGAGTCCTAAGGTGAAAAAGAACTCCTTTTGTCTACACAGTAGCGGTTTTTTCGTGCTTATGTAGATAGATTCTAAAACTGCTAGGTGGAACGACGATCGGGCTTTACCAATAATCCGAAACATGTTGCCATTATAGTTTTTTGCACAATCTGGGTTTTCTAGTAAATGATGCCCGATAGCAGAATCGCAGATAGCAAATATAGCTATGCTTATTAAGTCTATGAACCCCAATATTTTGTATTTGATATGGAGATTTGATAAAGCCCTGTGGATGTAATGAGTGAGGAAAATATTGAGAGAGACAGAAGAAAAATGGTTTTTCGGTACTTACAAGCAACTCAGTCATTAGATATTTTACCCTTCAAGCACTAGATATCATGCTACAAGGACAGATTCCCTTTTTGCTCTACTAATCCAAATTTGTAATAAACATCTGTTGAGAACATGAAGAAAATAAGAAGACTAAATTCATGCCTTTTTAAAATCCATGTGCAAAGTAAATTTTTATTATTTTTGAGTTGTTTATGCTTGATACCACCATAAATTTTAAAGTTGTATCTAAATACAGATTTTCTGTAATTTGTATAAATATTTAAAACTGAAAAGAACTGAGGTGTGACAAAGAAACATCAAATGGGGGATTAAATGGGCAGCCACAAAGAACTCAATGAATTTTATAGTGATTGATTAATTAACCATTCTAAGTAACCCACAGTTATAGCTTATTTTATACACATTTATAAAAAGGGCGTTTTCGAAATTTTGAAGGGTATGTTTTGCAAATATTGTCACACAATCTTCCAAAGCTAGCTACCTTAATGCTGTGCTCTTGAGCAAAACATTTGTAATTTTTATTGGGATATTTAGGCTTGCTATCAAACAGAGGGAGTGATATTTCAATGTGTCAATGTGTGTTTAACATGCAGAGAATTTAAAGGATTTCCAGGATGTTCAGATGAAACAATTGAATTTCGACCAACAGTGTACGAATTTTCATGTAATGAGTTGCCCCCTTGGAATAATACCACCTTATATTAATGTGGAGAGGAGAAAATGATGTCGAAAATTTAATAGATGTAGTGTAGTGTGCAAGACTTTAGCAGGCTGGTATGATCTCAATAGTTCAAATAAGCTCTGCAAAAACACTCCTACTCGTCAAATAGTTGAAAAATTTAACAGCGTATTTAGAACAACTAAAAGGAAGGGTTAGGCAGCTAATGAGCAAAAAATGAATGGTGTTTTGTTGAATGTAATTATAGTATATGACTAGAGACAATGAGACATGAATTGTGACGTTATTGAATCGTTGAAGAATCGCAATACAGACTAATAAAACATACCACACGAGAGTTTAAAACTAAAACTTCTATTCTCGATGGCTCTTTGATTCGTCTCGGTATTGAAGTTTTTTGTTATTGGAATTGGATAGCAAATTTTAAACAACAGATCATTTATGCCAAGTTCTTTGATCAATTTAATTCTGTTGGTCAGCCTTTCAATCAGAAACGGATGACCTTCCACAGTGAGTTTTGAATCGTCCCCAAACCCAACTGCAAAGCAAAGCGGCGGATGGACTAATAACTATTAAACCCAGTTTTTCTTGATAACTCTCGACTGGAAGAAACAGTATCAGCATGTTGCTTCTGGGTGATTGGCTAAGAATAGTTAATGCAGTAAGAGTCAAAAATATATTTTGTTATTGTATGAAGTATAAACATTTTCTTGTCCTTTAGTAGGATTAAATAGCCAATTTGATAAATTGGGGTGTCTTCCTTTTCATTGAACATTGTGTATTTCTTACCTCTTTCCAAGGAAATTTTTATCTAGATGAATGTAATTTCTCATTTTCCACTGGCTGTCTTAATCGAATTGTTTTCGTTTGTAGTTGATAACGTGTCTGGGCGAAAGGTGCCTGGTCGAAAAGGAATAAATCATGACTTCTCGTTATTTACCGCTTCTGATGAGGACAAGAAGAAAAAGATTTCTCCCCAACTCGGCTTTGCTTTGTTCCAGTATTTAAGCACAGGTATGTCAGTAAACTTTCCCCCTTTAGTTATTTGTATTAGAATATGTTAAGGTAAGGATATGAAAATGAGTTTTAAAAATTTATGTAGGCAGTTGTTGGTTGAACACGTAGTGGCTGCGCATTTTAAATGTAGATATGAAATTTTGAGGCGGTAGGTGGAAATATTCTATTGTGCGTGGAAGCACTTTACTTCCTACTGAAAGTAGCCATATCCTTATGATAGGACCGTGTTATTTTTTTCAGTAGTTTTCAGTTCACAACCAAACATGTTAACATAAAACCTTTTCAAGCTGTTTGGCTGGTTAGATAAAACAGGTTATTGCTACCTGAAACACTGAAGTTGTAAGTAAAGTTTTGGGTCTTATTTGATGCAGCATTGTATTTCATAATGCAGCACACTTTTTATTTTATAGGAAACCCAGCTTGTGGCCTAGTTTTTGAAGTTTCTCATTTTTGGACCTCTTTTTATAGAATTGTAGTACTAACAATTCCTGAATAATTCCTTAATTTAACTGCACATTTGGTGTCATGACAATTGCTCATACTACATTAGAATTCTGTATTCTGTCTTAAGACAGGAAAGGCGTTTGATATACGAAAAATGTGAAAATTCAATCAAGAAGGAAAATGAAACACTCGAAATTGGACAATGAAGCGCACAATTTATGTGATTTTTAACTCCAAATGAATGAAATTTACTTCTTATTCTTGATTATTTGCAATTATAAAAGTGTTCAAAAATGAAAAGTTCCTTAGGAAGTTTATCTTTAGTACTAACGGATCTTTAATTTTGTCTGTCTTCTAAATGTTGTTCCTTATAAAATAGCTTGTATGTGAGTTCAGAAACTCGATTCTTTGCAAACTTTGTTCATAAAACATACCGTCGCTAAATATGACTGTCGTTTTGAAATCCGCTTTCAGGTAAAATGTAAACTTTAAGGTGCTTGTGGTTCAAAATTTCGAGATCTCGAAAAAGCGATGTTTCAAAATAGCGTGGTTTTTCTTAAAAATGGTTTCGTAAATCAGGTTCATCTACGATTTCTGGTTGAAAGCATGGCAAGTTTCTTTTGACGTGGTAGCTGATGTTAATGTTAGCACATGCAGTGAATCCTGAAATGAAATGCCTTCTTTTTCAAGAGTCAAACGTTTCTTGGTTTTTACTTCAAATGTGTATTGGGTCATTTCAAGATCATAAGTTCTTATTCCAAAGCGTATGTGTTCTCAGGCATAAAACAAGTGATATAAAGTTTTAGGTGGTTTGTTGCTCAAAATTGCCAAACGCAGACTGTAATGACAAAATGCCTTGATCAACATGCAAAATTCATAAAGATACCTGTTATCTTGCGAACCTTGTTCATTTCTCAGCCTAAAGAAAGTTCTCAGATGCAAGTTGCTTAATGAAAAAGAAAACCTGTCGATTTTTAAGTTCGTCTTTGCAGGGATTTCCTGTATTAGTGGCTGGTAATACAGCTGACAACACGAAAACAAGATTTAAAGACAACTGTTCCTTATCTTCATCTTTGTATGTAATCATCACCTGAGATATCTGTAACGATAACTTTTATTGCTCGATTGTTCTTTATCTAGCTGTGGAACCGTTCAAGGAAGAATACATATCAAGAGCTGTGCTGAAAAAGTTGATCGACCATCAGGGCTCTGTCGAGGGAAAGTCACTAAACCCAGAGAAGGAGGATGACATATACCTGTATAAGAAAGGTATAAGTGCTGATTACTTCATCCTCATCATTCAAGGGCAGGTCGAAGTGGTTGTTGGTAACGAAAGCCTTGTGTTTGTGGACGGTCCTTTCACTGTGTTCGGGATGCAGGCACTATTTGCCGAAAAAGGTCACGCATTTCTGCCAGACTATGACGTCAAGATGTTATCCGATCTCCAGTACTTGAAGGTTGACCGTGCACTGTATAGATCGGCAATAAGGGCTAGTCAGCTGGAACGGAGTGAACGTGATCCTTCACACTTAGAAGAAATTGATAATCTTTTATGGACCAGTAAGGTCGAAAGGAAAGATGAACCGAAAATTACTCATGAAGTTGAAAGTGACGAAACAGGCTTGTTACTTACTCCTAATGCCGAAACAAGCCCGAAGAAATCCAAGGATAACGTTCGGCTTGAGTCTCCGTTGTAAGGAAATGTGTGAGCACGTGAAATTGTACAAAGCACCAAAATTTTGAGAGGAGTTCCTGAGGACCCTGTATGATATCCTTAAACATGGCTTAACGGAATGCTTCAGTGCTTCGTTATTCAAATAAAGCACATAAAGCACATTTAGCTGTTGAACACTTTTTAATGAGTCCGAGAAGTTTGATATTTCTGTTTACTATAAAATGACACGATTTAGTTTTCACTTACTTAAGTTTAGCTGCTGAAAATATATTGCTGATTTTAGTTATATCCCATAATGCACCTCTTTTTAAACATTCATGAAATTGAATTAATAATTGAACTTTTCCTACTTTTTTGCTCTACTAAGAGAGCCGTTGGAATGCCAGCAAATTTGATTATTTAATGACATAGTTTTAACTCTGGGTTATTTTCGTTTAGTTAAGTTGCAAAGTTCGTTGTTTGATTGAATTTTATTCTATTTTGACGGACAAAAGTACATAAATCGTTTTAAACATATTTCTAGGATACTAAAATTTTGCTAAATTCTGCGTTTGTAAATTCTTCCCAAAATTTGAATAAACTTTTTAATTGTTAGAAGTTTCTTTTCATTTTTAATATTGCTCCTTACCCAGTTTCGTTTGCCAAGGAAATTTCCTTGTTTTCCCGGCCTGTTTAACAGTCTCATTTTTAACCTGTTGCTTCAATTAGTCAGGAGAAAGTAAAGTTTAAATAACTCTACCCGTACATTTTGATATATTTTCACCGCTCAGTTTACACAGTGACGTGGCTCCTCTCTTTTCTAAAACGCCGATTCCCTATCGGCTACCCAGCAGTACACTTCAATTAGATTTCAAAAATCTTCGTCCTTGCGTGTCTGGTGAACCGAAAGAGTGCATTTTTCTACATTTGCACGAACATCGACTTGAGTGTCGGCTGTTAGTCGGTCACACAGATTGCCACATTTCCTTGTTCTCAACATGTCACCATCTTACTTCGTGTCCAAAGCTATACCAACTTCTACTTTGTGAGCATCAAGATCCTTAATTATCGCAATCAGTCGAAGATGATATCCAAATTTATCTTTCTTTTCATTTCTTTTTTTTATTATGCAGTCATAATATGTTGGGGACGACTGCACTTTAGCGACTCACTTTTTTGTTCCGTGGTCCGAAGCTGAATTGAGTTACAAACCTTCCGTTTCGATCTAGCCTTGTTTCTGAAACAATCGAAAGTTCGAATCTCAGAAGCTCAGCCAGTTAAGGATTCACTCTCGCACAATTGCAGCTATGCATCAGTTTGAGTTTCAAAATCAGTTTGAATGACTTCGCGCTTTGATTTTTTTTAGCTGCCTTGGGGGCTCCGCCCCCAAACCCCCGTTAATTCATCATAGATTGATTCATTTTACTCCATATCCAGTTATAAACAAATGTCTTGGTTTCTTCGAATATTCATTCTCACTGTTGCTCGCATCATCGTTTCTAGGTAGTAGTGATTCAATTCAACTTTCGACCAGGAAACAAAAAAGTGGGTCGCTAAACTACAGTCTAGCCATATGTTGCTAATAATTACTAGCTAAACATCCTTAATGTAGGTATCTCTTAATGTAGGACAAATTTTTGGTTCATTGGTTCTGTTCGATGTATTGTCTGGTGGCAGCTGTATGTAACGTTTCTTGTTTTATGTTTTATAAAATAATTTTTGTATTTGATTAAATTTCTCGGAATATATTTTGGTTCGTTAGTTACTCAGCAGATTTTTGATTTCATCTTAGCGTCATTAGTATTTTGAAGAAAGTCGGTGCAGAGTAATGCGAGAAAACCTTTATGGTATATTCTACTATCAACCACATTACTTGTTAGTGGTCTGAAGTCAACTATTTCTACATTGATATCGCATATTTGTACAAGGAGAATAAGCCTACCGCGTCCTTGTTCTATTGCTCCTTAAAGGGATGTCCTTGTCACGTACATCCCTGCATCACGGATTATGATTGGTTCCTTTCCCCTGACAACAGCTCCACGTGACTTTGCCAAGTTCGTTGTTTACTTTTTCACGGCTTTACGCTGATATACTTTGTATATATTATCATGACTAGGCAGTCAATGAACTCCATGTAGGTTAGTGCGCTTGAGCCAAGAAATAAGCCCAGCTGGCCTCCAATATCAGCTGAAAATAAAAATATTTGAAGTCATTGAAATATTTATTTTTCTAAACATCCAAACTGGCCTAGAACACTGTATGCAATAAAACATAAAACTTTCGAAACCTCGAAATCTAGATTCTTTGTTGCTTCAGATGGAAATGGCTTGACCTAAACCCCTTTTTCTTTTTTATTAGATTCTAATCAAAACCTAGTTGATTTATTAAAAAATGAAGAAATTCCATGGAAGATTGATGTAAAAATGGCCGCAAAATAGATCACATCACCAAAGCCTACACCCGTTTAAACCATTAAACATTTCTAATAATTCGTTTTAGTGTTTCAGTTTTGAAGAGTAAAATGTCGTGCCTGCAGTACAAAGAATGGAGCAATAAGAATCACAATCTAAGAGCATTGGTAAAAACAGACACATTATAGTTTCAAAATTCCTTAGACGAGCTTTTCTAATACCTAATATAGTCTCAATTGAGCCATCAGTTCAGTAGACTAAATTTTCTTGCCTGTTTTTGCATTGGGCAGTGAGGGCAAAACGTTTTCGAACCTAATTCTACTTCAATATCTCCGATAAAAAGCACCATCTAACTTGCTGTCCAAAACATGTGCAATGCCCATGTTCAAAAAACCTGTGAGAATGTGATGCTTGAGAACGCGTTCTGAAATAGGAACGGTTAGACACGTTGCCGAGGAATGAGAGATTATTTCATGGAGTACGTAAGCTAGCTCTCAACGTGGAATATTTCAACGTAGAAATAATTCTTTCGAAACGGGATTCTCACGCTACCCCAAAGTTGGTTTTCAAAGTCCGCAGATTCGATAAGCTAGCATTTTGAAACATTGTGCGGTTCGACAAGTCTTTTTCTTATTAAAAAGAATATTATTTTTGCAGGTTTGGTGTTTTAAAAAATTTCTGAAAATGACTTAATTCAAATGCCTTTTAGTTCCTGCTTATTGCCCCCACATGTCGCTGTTTCTATTAATGCGCCCTCCTGTTGTCGATTATATTCCGTTGGGATTTTGGAAACATTCACTCCTTCTCTGGTCAAATGCCCAAAATATCTTTGTTTATGCAAGAACGTCTCAGGTGGTTTACATGAGTGAGATTAAAAAAATGTAATTGCGCAAACAAGATGGAAGATGCATGGCCTAAATCTTGCACCCTGTTATTGAAAAAGCCATGTGGTGAGTAGCTCTTAATATAGTTCCTGTTACAGAGAGGTAGATTAGAATGGCTGTGAAACGCCCTCGCTCTCATGTTTTTCATTGAGCGAAGCAAATTCCATATGCTCGCCTTACGTCAAAATAGAATCCTCTGGCTTCTATGACTGTGCATAATGCCGCTTTAAATACGCAAAAAGTCGAGCCTTGTTTGCTTTTATGATGGAGTTTTAATTTCCTAACGAGATTCGGGGAGTAGAAAAGAAAATGTTCTTTTAAGGTTCTTGTGCCACCTGCATGCTTTGCTGTAGCTATTTTTTACGTGAGGGAGATGGGCTGTATTTTTTATATTCATTCATTATCAACGATATTATTCAGGACTTTGAAAATAAAGTTGCAAAGCATGCCGGTCGCACAAGGGACGTTAGTTTGTAATAGAGTGCGTCGCGAGACCTAGACACAAGACAGCACACACTTGAAAGCATATTTTCTTGTTATAACCAACCTAGTATATTGGTGCCAAATCAACTTTTGATGAGATGTTTATCCAAGCCAAAAGGAATTGGAGGTTTAGGGTTGAGGCTGTAACTTAGCGCTTTAGAATTTTATCGTTGAATAAAATTACATTGAAGCGTTCTTTGCTGTTCATTTAGAATTTTATTCCCTCGTTGCTCCCAATTGGACCTGTCAATATTTTTGACATGTCCGCGTTCAGTTCTCGCTTTTCCTTGTCTCTTTAATATATTATCTCCTTCCTATTCCCTCTGCTCTCGCAAAGGAACTATGCCAGCAAAAATCTGCATTTCAAGCTATGCCTAGCATTGTTCTTTGTGCCAAACACTCGATTTATGCAACAAAAAGTTTTTGCTCAACGTAGTTGATTACTTTAGAGATAAAATTGTGTTTTTCTTTGCTACATTGCTCGCATCACTTTGTGGGGGGTTTTATATATTTCCCTGGACATTTGATTGGTAGCTGTTATCGAAATAGGAGAGGGGGTTATCGTAAACATCATTGCGTTACCAGGGGCTTAACCATTTACAATTGGGTTTAGGTAGGGGGTACAATGTTTTTTGTTCATAAACCTGCAAGTAAACCATGCTGATTGTGGCCTAGTGACCCAATGTGGAAAGAAGTTAGTTTAAACAGAATAAATCCTGCACAGGGCATTTATAATGCACAGTTCGATAATCCCTTGAATTTATCTATTTGGTGCGTGCCCAAAGGGTTTACAGATTCGGTACAGTTTACAGATATACAAAACTCAAGAGAGACAAAAATAGTTCATTGCTTATTTGAAGCATAAAGAAAGAGTAGTTAGCAGTAGATAACAATTTACTTTTAGGACTCTTTCTGGGAATTTTTACTCCCTAAAGCATAAAGGTAATTGAATGGTAAAATGTTTCAATGCACCAAAATGTTTGGAGAGAATGGAAGACTGCTTGTAGTTGTTGCTAAAGATTGAAGCGAATGAAATCTTTTGCCTTTGGCAGCAGGGGCGGGTTGGCACTACTCTTCTAGGGTGGCTCTGAAAGGACCCGTAGGGCGTGATCTGGCCTTAAATGGAAGTGGTCACGTAGAAAATCGAATTCCACGTAGTATAAAAGTTGATAAGAGTTTAGCATAATTCTATCCATTTGTTGGCGAAAAATCATTGCTTTCTTTAGCTTTCCTAAGCTTGAATTGATTTCAACGAGTTCGACAGCTCGAAAGATTCATTTGCTTTAGTGCAACCAATTTTATACAGTTCATCAAATTTGTTTAGTGATGACTAGCATAGAAACTGGTATAGCAAAGTATCTACATTGGTCGATTCTTCTTTGTCAATCGGAAAAATTATGTAAAACAGTCATCAGTATTTTTACTGTTTGTTAAGTTTGTCGATGATTTGGGCAAAAATTGATTTTGGAAGTTCCCATTTCCAGTAGAAGTATCAGCAGTGATTCTGTGTGAGGCAGGCTTAAGATTGACCACAATCTATTATTTAGTTTACTGAATAGTCTCTCAGAAAATTCTTGTGTACTACACAACTTTAATGTTATCGCACATTTGTAAGTGTCGAATAAACGGCAACACGTAGGTTAGGCAGATGCAGAGACGTCTTTAAATACGGAATACATTGAACTTCTTCTCCTGGCATGCCATCCATGTTGACCTACTTGGTCCTCTTCCAAAGCAACAATATCATTCAATATTGTATCATCTTGAATGTTTCAATTGATTTTTTGGTATATATCGTGAAAAGCGCTAGAAACTATTCTTGGAGTGTTGCTTGGTCAATTTTTGCTTAGCTTGAGAACTGAGACCTTTAAAAGGACATTTCTATCATTTGCAAACAGCTTATCAATTCCTTTGAGACTTAGATGCAGCTAGATCTCGAAAAAAAATCTTTGTTTCTGCGAATATTCTACAGTGGACTCCGCTTATAGTCACACGAAACGTTGCTTGGAAGTTGTGACGGACTAAGTGTAACTGTAAAAGGAGCTTAATTGAAGAGTTCTTGATGTTTCAAGTAAAATATTTTGTGACTGTAACAAGGCTGTAGTGACAATAAGCAGCGCCGGCGAAGCTTATTTGAAAGTGGAGAGGCCTAAATGTTTAGACTTTGGAAGGGATAATAAGGGCAGCAATCATGGTCGGCGACAAGAAAAATTTCAGAAATATGGTATTCTAGGGATGGCCAGAAAGTGCATCGACAATAGATCTGAAGGAAAACCCGAGGTTATTTTTCAAGCTTTTCATCATCACTTTGTCCTACAGCATATTAAAGATGAAGAAGGGAAATAAATTAAACACGGTTCAGCAATAAAACAAAAAATCTGGAAATTGTGCAAATATTCCGTTTCAGCAATAAAACATAAAAATTGTGGGTCATTAAAGGGTCAGTTTACCGACGAAGAGAAAGATTCAAAAATCTTTAGGTGCTATTTTACCTACCGGTTGAGTTTAACTAACCAACAGAAGGTTTTTGTAAACCAACTGAAAAATCACCGACAAGCTCATGAAGAATTTGGGTAGGCTGTCATGTACCCCCAAAAACCCCAGCTAGCTGCACCCCTGTTAATTACCTTCTTTATCACTCGCATTCTTTCCAGGCATATACATTTTAGACGCAAATTAACGACATGTTATTGGATTTACTACTCTTCTTGTTTTTGATCTGTCATCATCAAAATTTTCCATTTGTCTTCTGGTTACTTTTTGTATCGTCGATGATATGCAATACATAATTTTTCTTCAGACGATTTCAATGGCTGAACGTTAAGAGTTGTTCATTCGGTGGGGCCCCAGAAAGATTGGATGTGATTGCCATTATTTCGAATCAGCAAAACTTATGCGTGTGCTTAATAATTGATACATAAATTTTGAAAGTTTTTCTTATGCGGGCCCGCTCTTCAAATTTCTGAAGGGGCCCGTGTGGCGATCGCCACCTAGCCAGCTGGGCCAGTCCGCCTCTGTTTGGCGGTGGTAAAAACTTCATTGGCAATTGAGGGAATCATGGGATGAAGGCATGCTTTGTATTCCAATATTACTGCATAGTTACAATTGCGAATATGATCTACAAAATATAGGCTTTTTTCCACAACTTTGGGTTTTCAAAACCCGTTTGACTAGTTTCCCATGCTATAAAGGCAGCAAGACACCGAGAAACGAGCTTTTACGTCGGACACGTTATTCACAGATAAAGAAAACGTGATTTCTCGACCTAAAACCAAATTTTCTCAGTCAAAATGTATTTTTTGTCGAAAATGCGTGTTTTCGCTGTAACTAACAACCTGCTAAATCAAAGTCACGTTTTTCAATTGAAAGACGTATTCATAATAGAAGCCCACCTTTTTGCTGATAAATTTGGTTGTTCGACGTGAAACATAACCTAACACGTGCTCTCAATCTGCGTTTTACTAGAAAAAGACAGAGAGCAGAAGCAGAATGACATTGAAAATATTTTGCATGTCTATAAGTATACATGGCTCTACTCACCAAGGAAATCTAGTTTGTCATAAGATGGAACCTGTTCCGAATATTCGTAGCTCAGTTCGCCATAAAATATTACAGCCTTTACAAAAGTCCCTCTGTAAAAAAAACAAAATTTAATCATAACTACTAGAGTTAATTCTTAGTTAATATGGGTCACTAGATGTTCGATTTTTGTTCGAGAAAGTAAATTTTCGTCTTCAATTGTAACATGTAGAGCACTAAATTGTAGTTTTTCTTTAAGTCTGAATATTGTAGAGAAGTAAATTGTGGTGTCAATTTGACCATGTTAAAGTTGCCGTTTTGTCAATTGAATGTCGCTTTGCTTAAGGTGGATGTATACCACCATATTAAAAATAGACCTCACTTGAAGAAATTGAGTTTTTCATTGTAAAACAAGGTAGAAAAGGAGAATAAAGAACAAAATTCCAATTTACATATCTTTCTCAAGGAATCCAATTAAAACTAAAAGTTCTGAAAATTCAAATATGGTAGCTATCACTATGGAAACTAAAACAATAGGAAAACTTTGAGAAAAGATATCTCTAGTCCTGGGATTCAAAAGAGGCTGGTATTGGTACAAAATAACTCTTTGCTGAAGAAGATTGATATGAGCAGATTAAATTGCTGTCATAGCAACTGTTACCATGGAAATGACAAAAAAGTGTTTTTTCGCTGTAATGATGTGTTAGCATAAAACTTTCAAATTTCCTCTGCTCATATCAGTACTTATGGTAAATTACATATACTCTCCAAAAACCATCATTTTCTGACATACCATTTATAAGATATCCTTTCTTGAATGCGGAAAATGATGTTTGGAGAAAAAAGCATTTAAAGTTTTCCACATGAAAGGTACCATGGCCTGAGACTGTCAAAGTCGTTTTTGCTTAACAAATGAATCTACCTACTATCAATATTAGTTAATCTGATAAAATCAACTCAAATATTTATATCCTTGGCTTAGAAATGGGTCTATACCTTTATTTTGATGAATATAATTTCTATCGCTTCCCTCTTTTCTCATGCATTTTTACGATAACATCCGACTCGTCAACAAAACAAATGTTAATAATGTCACCCTCTTTGTTGACTTTGTCAGCCTCTTTTGATGTAACACTCGTTGAACATTTTCTTTTTGTTTCTGCAGTTTTGCCAACAACAAAACCACCTGAAATGTAGGAAACACCAATGACATTTCTTTTTTTCCCCTCCTGACGAAGCTGCTTCCGTCTTTTTCTATAACTGCTGCTGCATTTAACAGCCATGCTTTCAATCAGAGCCTTGTTTTCTGATCTATAGCCAGCCAGACTGTGTATGATTTATACTGCAGAAAGACTTTTGTACCAATCTAAATACTTTTTGGAGTCTCTAGGCCACAAATTTCTAGAACGACATTGAAAGCAGACTTTGGATTTCACCTCATAGTCTAGGACTTCTCCAGTATCCATGGAGATGACAAATAACACACCAAGTAGAGAAGAAAAACCATATCTTTTCTGCCATGTACCATCAACTGACACTGTGACAGGAAAAATGTCTTCTTTAACATTAAGACCAGAACAGTTTGGGTCAGAAGCTTTCCTAAATTTCTTTAACTTTAATGAAGCACTTTCTAGAGATTTTTGACATTCTTTGTCAACAGACATCTGAATTTATTTGACTGTTGCATTATAAGCCTTAGAAGAAACTGGTGATGGTAAATCCAGAGTACTGCGAAACTTCTGCAGGCCCGTCAGACCAATCCCTGTTAGCAAACCGGCCTGAATGAAACAAAGATTTACTTCGGTACGCCCATTGTGTACCCTGTTTCCAGTTTCAAATGTAGATTCTTCATTGCAGTTGCTACATTTTAAAGTAAAAGTTTCATGCAACCCAATTCTTTTGTTGTTATCTTGCATTAAAACGAGTTTACCTTTCGGGCTTCGACAGCTGGCACAAACAACAGCTGATAAAAATCCTTCCTCTAAACAAGAACTGGATACGACATGGTTTCCATAACTTTGTACGGTTGTTTTTCCTTGAGAATGCATACCAAGGTCCAGTGATTTTCTTCTGGTTACCACTGCCTCGTTTTGTTTAATAATCAAAGGACAGTTTTCATTTATTTTTTTTTCGTATCTGTTTTTCTTTGGTGGTGAATGGGCTAGAGCTGCATCGGAAGATGTCGTAGGGCCTAATGCAACATGGCCACCAATTTCCTCAGATAAAACATCTTGTTTTTTTTACCAGTAAAAACGCCAGTCCTCTTTCTTCTGTACCTAGTTCTCTGCTTATTTCCTGGCATTATTAAGCCAAGAATGACTACGTTTAAAAATTATTGATGTCAAAGATTCTTTCTCGAAAATTCAGTAGCACTGCTGTTCAATGTTCAAACTTACCATACCCTTACCTATACTACTCTATGTAAATCACTATTGGCTCACAAAATAAATGCAACTCAATCAAATTAAAGTAAAGCTGCTAAAATGTTAGACTTCGCGGGGGAAAGGGGGCTAATAGCAAAGACTTTTCTCCATAGCAACCGAAAAAAATGGTTGTCAAGGAGGAGTGATGCAACAAATAAGCAATTTATGCCGTTTCAACAGTTAGTTTTGAATTATCCTTACATGCAATGAATTCGCAAAGCTTGAATCTTTTAAATAATGTTAAAATGTCAAAAAATGTAGAAAATTATTTTTGATCAAAAAATCTGGTATACATCCACCTTAAAGTCTTTTTAACGTTCTCTCGCAATTACGACTCTTTCCATAATCGGACTCTTTCTATAAAAGGTTCAAAGAGGCAGTAAAAAACGTTATTTTGCCTGGATTCAAAGATATGAATTACAAATGTAGTGAAATCAACAAAACCCTCTCGAAAGACTGTATAGTTTGTAAAAAGATGGTATTTTCCTAGCATTTTCTTTCCCGATGTTGACGAAATAGTTTGAAAAATGCGATATCTTTCATACAATGCCTACAAATTCCTTATATACCATCAATCAAAAAGTTGCACCAACAAATTACTAATTACAATTCTTACAAAGATACCCTTCTGCACCACTAAAACGATATCAAGTGAAGCAAACGACTGATCTCCTCTGCAGCCATTACATTAGGTTGAAAACAACGTCATAACTACGATGCATGTTACTGCTAAAAAGAAAACTAAGATAAAGAAAAGAAACACATTTTCTAAAAAGGGACCTTCTTCCCAAATTTTCTTGATAGATCGAATAATTGACGTTGTATTATCAAATTTCTCAATTCTTCTCCTAAATATCACTTCTCTCGTCCACTTCCCCCAAGGAACAATATTGGTAGTTTAGCCATGTTTCATATAAGTCATACGAAACAACACATTTATTTTATAGAAAGGTCATTTTATAGAAAGAAACATTGTTCAAAGGGGGTGAGGGAGGTTGCTGAATTTGCCCTTGAGAACTGATGTTACCGACTTTTGACTTTTGATAGCTTTTAATAAAGGTGACAGAACCAGTAGATAGAAAAATACTTAACAACTTGTGTTACAGTGTCAGGAAAACATGACAGCAATGGTGAGAACAAAAGAAATTAAAGTGCCACGCCCAAACTACGCCTTTTGTTTGTTATCTAAGGAAAGTTTCAAAAACTTGAAGAAATTGTCTGGATAAAGAGCTAGCAATTTTCTGGACTGGTGTTAACTGCCAGAAGCTACATGAATAAACACCGTCAATATTCCTTATACTTACTTAGGAAATAGGTTCTTTGTGAATCTTATGCGTCTGTTTGTTCTTTCATTGACGATACATTACCAACTGCTACTGAATGAAAGTACCTACCTGATTGTTTTTCTGTTCATTTCTTTAGCGCCCCTGAACCTAGGGTCTTGAGCAATTTCGTCAACATCACGGTCCAGCAGAAATTGGGACAGTGAAAGACTTGGCGTATAGGTGTCCATTACGCAGGGAAGTGGACAGTCGTATTTCATGTACTTGTCGAATTCCGCTGAAAGATATTTCAAGAGCTATTCCAAGCTAAAGGTAATTCATATTGTGTCTTTTTTCAGTCTAGCTTCCATCAAGATTGCGCGCTTCTGATTTGTTGATTAAATTATTATGTAAACAACAAAATCAGGAAAAGGTTGAAGGAATCGCCAGCCTCAAGTCCCCGAGGGTCTGGTTTTAAAATACTTTTTGCTATGGCAAGGTAAGATATGTTTACTTAAATTATCTTGGGTATAGATATCGCACAAAACTTGGTTAAAAAATTATCAATAAAAGGACGAGTTCGAGCTAAATACGACTTGAGATTGATCACTCTAATAGATTCAATATTTTTGTTTCAGTGAAAAATAAGAAAGTGAAATATTCATGGAACTTGCCACAAACATGAATGACCACACAATATCAGAAAATCTTTTTTGTCAACTGTTTATAAGAATACTTCAAGTACGGAACGAAGCCTTTGAACATTAATGTGCACAGTTTTGTTCAAAAGAGTCCTTGGTCATGAATTATCTCGTTTCGATATAGGAGCCTCTTTTTCAGAATATACAAAACTATTGATTTATTCATTTTCAAAAGGAGGCTTCTACGTTGTAACGAGATGATTCATAATCTAAATTCTTATTTTGAAGCTATTTCGAAAGATTCGTTACCGCGCGAAAAGAGAAATTTGCCTCTGCTTCAACCGTCTAGATTTCCATGGTGAAAAGATGTATAGCTCCTAGTCTTTAGCAATTTCTTGGCTGTTTAAATAAAGAATTAAAAGAATCATTTTAACTAAATGTTTATACTCACCCCAACGTGGCCACATGCACTCTTTTGATTCGTTCAATGAACAAACTCTGTAACCACCTAGTAAACAAAATCAAGGAGATAAAGCCGTATTATTCGACATCATGCTTGCAATGATAATCCTCTTGTTTACTTTGCTAATGAATATCCGCTAATCAACTAACATTCTGATTGATTTCCTTGGAAGCATTTCGAAAGAATTTCGACTTTTGATGTTTGATCAAATGAAAACCATGTTTTGCGATCAGATACGTGAAAAATAGTGCGTACTTGCAAGCTAGCAGACAATATTAGTAAACTCGTGTTTTAAAGAAACGGACGAAAGCGAAAAAGTCCTCATCAATATTGAAATATCATTATTTACATTAAAGAATGCAAGGAGAACAGAGGTTGAGAAGATGATATTTTGCAAAGTAAACATAACGGTCCATTTTGGTATTTTAGCTTTACCATGCTTAATAATGTGATTCAACTGGATATAATTTTCATCCTACCGGTCTGAAAATTGTAATCTAATGTATAAAAAGACACTTGATTCTTTTCGTATATGTTCCTTTGTTTTGATATATAATTTGTTCTGATCTTTCCACCTTCCTTCTCTCCTGCACTCGGTACTAATAATTTTCCGCAAAATTGTTTGCAAAAATAACTATTCTTTCTTGGACATTTCCAGTCGTTCATAGCTTCAAGAAAATAAAGCTTTTATTGGATTTAACAGCTTATATGCATTAGGCTGGCTGGCTTATATCGATTCCGAAAGTTCAATTTGTTATTAAAATGGAAGGTGCAGCTGTCAGTAGAGCCGTGTTTGTTATCTTTTGCCTTTTCAAAACATAGGTTATTTTAGCTCAAGATGCACTTTAATTGTTACCTGGCATGAACCATTCTTTACAACCACATTCTTCAATCACGTGATCTGTCAATGTCTCAAGCCAGCATAAATGCTTCGAATATCGTTCGCTGAAGTATTTCAATTTTTTGCTCCCACAATTCGACTTGTAAGGTGGCGGCAGATTCTTGATCTGAAATTTTAAAATGTGAGACTCTTGCTTGATTCTTTGATTGGATCAAAGTAGATTAAACATTTGAACAGAAGTTTGCTCAATGTAACTAGCAGATAGTCACAAGAAAATAATGTGTAACCGGGCCAAAAAGATACAGAAATACAAAAGGTGTAGAAGCATTCCATTCAAAACGTATTAGCCATGCAGTTCTTTAGGTTTGTGTAGCTTCGTATTTCATCTGTAAGTTTTGATTTGGGTAACCTTTAAATGCAAAGTGAATCTACATTCTATAACAACCAGTATACTTTTGGATAGTTCGATGCTCGATTGATCTTAATAATTTTTATTTGAAAATTGATTTTTCTACAGCCACAAGCTAAAAATTGTTTCTAAAAACATTTAATAAAAGTTTCGCGTGAGTTGCAAATGTTTTAGTTGCGTGCATTTTCTTTAAATTTGATTAATAATCGAGCCTTGATGTTCTTATGAAGTGTCTTCTAAATCGTCTGTCACATCATCTTGAGATTTGGCTTTTGCGCGCTTTCGTTTTTTTTCCTTTAAATATACAATAGGCCTATATGGTCTCTAATAGTAAGAAATGTAACACTGGGCAAAAATCACAAGTAACTAATCATTGTTTGTTGACAGGGACGTCGGAAAATCTCTAAATTTAAATGTTTTCAAAACTTTTTAATTAAGTTGGTGGTTCTATGAAAAGTGACATTCTCCCAAAATTTGGACACACGCCCCTGGTGCATGTGGTCCCCCTGGTGCCTCCAGACCCGATGTCCCTGATTCTGAACGTTGATATGTGTATTGAAGACTTTGCTTACCTTTCTTCTTTTAACTTGAACATATGTTATAAACCCTGGGGAAAGCATGACACCTAGCATTTTGACCGGAGTCTCGTCTTGGCCATGCAGAATCAACTGGATTCCAGAATAATCGGTTCCTGGATAATATTCATATTCTTCGATATTTAGGATCAATTCAAGTGCATGTGTAGGTCCAGTCTTGTTGAAAAACAGGATTTGTTGGCCCTCGTGTCCATGGTTGAATGTAAAGCATCGATCACCCTGGTCCTTGTTGAATTGAATGAAATCCTGCACTGAGCACTCTTTGTCGAGTATCTTGCATTTATACAGCATATCTGGAAGTTCATGGTTGGCCTTGCGAATTGTATTCCTATACTCATCACCACTCAATGATACATTTCTATCCCCTTTTAAAATCATATCGAGCTTGGTGCCTTTCATCACAGATGTACGCATATCATTAAGATTGCAAATAGAAACTGCCGGAAATCGCATACTGTCTTCATACCTCACTGTAGTTGTAGTGCTGAATGGGTGGCTTATAAAATGCATTGTACATTCATAGAGCTTCTGCATCAACAATCCTACTGCTGTTAGTAGCAGTATTGTCCAGATAAATCGGCGCACCCTGCTTTTTCTGTCAAAACAGTTTCGTAGGCCATGCACAGTTGATTTTGAAATCAGGCTTCTTTTGTATATGTGAATCTTTCTTTGACGTGTTTGCTTGTCAAGTCGTCTTGCATGGTCTTCCATTTCTACAAAATAACATCCAGATTAAAACAAAACTTTTGCTTAACCTGTGAAGATAAAATTTGAACGATATTGCAAGTCTGATTACTCTAGTTGATAGGCTGCAAAAATGTGATAATATTATATAAAACGTACAAGCAGTTAGGATCTTACTTAGAATTTTATGAACCTCGGCTAAAATTGCTTGTCAAAGATGTTCAACTGAGCAATATAAGTTTGCTTTAAATTGTACAACCTACTTCCTAACAGTATAGCAATCACGTGTTCAAAATGTTTATCATGAGCCATTTTTTTGTCCTTATAAATTATGGATTTATTGTGTCTTTAGATTTCCTTGCCTATTTTAATGGCATATATAATAGACTAAAGAGCCGTGTTTCCTTGAAATGGATTTTGTACAAGACTATGAAAATAATGAACCTGTAAATGTATTTTGCAAAAGATCACAAAAAGGCCAGCAGATATGAAATCGTGCTGCAGATGTTCTTTCGCTGTATTACATCGGATAACAGCGAATATCATAGCAAGATCAATCCTGACAGAGTGTCGACACAATAAAGCTGTTTGAATTGACATGAAACGTAACAGAAAAAATACAGCCGCTTTTTGAGCTTACAATCTTTTCCTTGTCGTTCGATTTCTAAAAAAAATCTCATCAAATCTTGGCGATAGATTATTTTCCTGGCAATCAGTAACTAACTATCCATCAAATGTGTCTAAATCTGACACTTTCAGTTGATGACTTCTAAAAAACAGCAAGTTTTCATAAAATGCGAATTATACGTCATATGAAACTCAGTCGAATGTTTCCTTCTGGCAAGACGTCCTGCAAAATAACACTTCACTTGCTATACAGATATATATTGCATTGATGTGTTTTTAATATATATATTTTATAATATATATATATTTAAAAGTCTGTAAAACGAGCGTGAATTCTATATTTTACATTTAATAAAGTTAATTCACAATTTTTGCAGATAATAGGTTAGAAAATTAATTTCTCAGTGCAATATACTCTGTTTGAATAGTTTTATTTATTCTTTAAATCTCGATTTGGCTATAAATCATAGAACATACCTGCTAGAAACCTTGTAATGTATCTCAAATATTCTGACTCGGTCAAATCGTCACAATCCAATATCCATTCAATTCCTTTAAAAACTTCCTCTTGCTGAAAATCACAATACTCTTCGTCGAAAGCTGATTCATCTGTGCTGCTTGAAAGATGTTCATCCTCTTCATTATCCATTTACGATTGTTTACCAGCCTTTGCCTGTAATCAAAAGAAACGTTCTGCGGTAGGCAAAACAAGAAGAAAAACAATGCTTCTAGCCCTGTTGTTCGTTATCGTGGCAGCGTATTGGTAATGAGTAATGAGCAGCGAGATTTCCAGGTCATGCGTTGTCCCGGCTTAGCACATCTGCTTTATGAAGAAGTCCATGTACCTGCTACCCTTTAGAATAGAGATCTCTTCAATCGTTCCTTCTAAATTTTATCCAAATAGATGCAAAACAATTTAAATTATCAACCCACATTGAATATTTTATTATCAAACTTGTGAATATTTATCATTTCATAGCTAAATAGAGCAATGGGGATAAAACCAGAAAATGAGAACGATTTTTATAATTTTTAAAAAGAATCCACTCATTGCCAGAATATTGCTTAATATTAAGTAGGAAAATCGACCATAAAGATGACGAGCAAAGAGCTGCATTGAAGAGCAAAGATTTTGTTTTCAAAAAAAGCTTATCGTTTATTTTAAGGTGCACTTAAAATAATTGTGATTGTGGAAAGGTATATTTTGCAAGGCCATATGGTATATTCCCATTAGATTATTTCAGATCTGGAAAATAAAAATGCTTGTGCATGATAAGTCATTGGATTGGCTAAATTGACGTTGTATCTATCTTATACTTAATGCAAACAAAATGTTTTCTAGACATTGTAAACCAAAAGTTTTTACTTTAATTCTGGGAAATTTTTTCCTCTAGATGAAAGTCAGTTTAACCTGCAAAGCTCCGATAGACAAAAACGAGAGTACAGAAATATCAGGAGCAGGCTTTTCTTGAAAGCTCAAAGTACAAATGACCTGTCAATTCTAGCAAATTTCAAATTTGTGAAGTTCAGCTTTGAGTGACACGTTGAAGACTATAAGACCAAGATGGAGTTTTTGAAATGCATTCAACAATCGTTCACAAAAATTGCGAGACTGCATTAATTTAAAAGTAAGCCTGCTCCTGGTCTTGATTTCAAAGTATGTCTTCCCCAACAAAGCAATGTTGTTAGTGTGATTTTACCTAAGATGTCAATGGAAAATCTTCGTTTCAAAACAACATTGCTTTGAAGTGTATCATAATTAATGTCGTTTTAGTAAGAAACGAAAGGATTTTTTAAGAAAACACTGGAGAAATACATCAAAGGACACTTGTATCGATGTATTTTTGATTGTAAGCTTTTTTAATTATAGGAGCTGGTACCAATCACTTGAGTAAATCTGTTTGCCAAATCATCGTAAATAGTCACGCCCATTTCGACACGAAAGGAAGTCAAATCACCTTTTTTCACAGTTCATACCTACTGAAAGTAGGCTGATGAAGATGCTTGATAAAAAGGGGCTGCTGTAATCACTCAAAGTGACTACTTTTCTCTTTACTGACATACTTGATTTTACGGCTTGAATGCTTGAAGAATGAAGAAAAGGCACGTTGTCCACGAAAGGTGAAAGACATGTCGGTAGTGCTGAAATTTATTTGCATCTTACTCTTGGTGATCATAAATTTCCAAGTAAAGAAGGTTGCTTTTGTTGGCTCAGATTCAATTGGGTTAACTATCACAGGAAAAGAAATTGCTAGCAGCAAGGAGACGTTTATATTATCCAGTTTATGGCAAGCTAAGAGAGGGAAGCGCGATATTCATGTCCGAAGCTCGATGCAAAGTTTCCTGTCTCCTAATTCTGATGAGTGGTGATATAGAATCGTGTCCTGGTCCCTACAGCAGAGACATCCCGGCTTTGAAACAGTTACTTAAACAGAGAGGCTTGGCAGTTTTCCATCAAAACGTGCGTGGATTGTTTTCTAACATAAACCTTGTTTCAGAACTTTTTCAAAGCTTCAGTGGGATCGATATACTAACCCTAAGTGAAACGCACATACGGAAAGACAGTGAAAATAATGGACTGTATGATATCCCTGGCTATTCGTTTGAAAGCCGGCCACGAAATTCTGGAAAAGGGGGCGGTGTTGGTGCCTACATTTCCAATAAGGTACCCTGGGACAGGCGAGAAGACCTCGAGGACAAAGAATTGGAAATTATGTGGATTGAGGTCTGGCCTAGTCGTGAACATTGCAAAGGTATTTTGATCGCAATAATATACCGGCCTCCAGATAGTTCCAAATACCTGCGAAAGGATTTCAACGCACGCTTTAATTCCTTGTTAACAAAGGCTGCAGAAGAGTGCAAAGAAATTATGATTCTTGGGGATGCGAATATAAATTTTCGAATTGAAAATGACAACAAAGAGCTGAAAGCAATCTTCAGTGTGTTTGGTTTGAAACAAATTATTGCAAAGCCTACGAGGATATCAGAAACTACAGAAACATTGATTGATGTCATCCTTACAAATAATCCTTCGAACATCGCAAAACATGACGTCATACCGACCAGCATTGGAGATCATGACATGCCTGGTTGCGTTCGTAAAATAAATAACAGTTCTTTTAGACCGAGGGTTATTACTTGTCGGGATTATAAAATGTATAATCCGGAAAATATGAAATCAGATTTACAAAATGTGGACTGGGCTCCATTCTATAACCAAATAAATGTGAACGAGGCTTGGTCGATGATGAAAAGCATCCTTCAAAATGTATTTAATCATCACGCCCCGAGAATATTCAAGAAAGTAAGGGGAAAGCCAGCACCGTGGCTAAACAGTGAGGTGAAGCGTCTTATGAATGAAAGAGATAAACTGTTAAGAAAATCAAGACGTACTAAAAATCAAACAGACATCTCAGCATATAAATGCATGCGTAATAAAGTGAATACAGCTGTCAGAAAAGCCAAGTCAATGTACCACAAGGATTTATTGAAAGAAAATTCAAGGGATCCAAATAAGTTTTGGAAAACACTAAAATTAATTTACCCAACCAAGTCGAGCGACAAACAAAGTCCTCAATCTTTCGAAATTAACGGCGATAAAGTAAAAGACCCAAGCAAGATAGCAAACGCATTTTGCTCCTTTTTTGCTAATATCGTAACAACCTTGAAGGAAAAGGCTTTCCCGTTATGTAACTTCACATGGAGAAATCAACCCAACTTACCCACAAAAACAGTTAGAAAGTTTATGTTTAGAAAGGTATCAAAACAGGAAGTTGAGCGTGAACTTAAGTCTATAAAGAGAAATAAAGCAACTGGCTTAGATGATCTGCCACCAGGTTTGATAAAGGACTCTGCTGAGTCAATATCGGCTCCCTTGACCCATCTTATCAATATGTCACTCATGACCAGTACCTTTCCCGCGGACTGGAAGGCAGCTAAAATCATTCCTACTCATAAATCTGGTGCACGCTCTAACTGTGATAATTACCGACCAATTTCAGTTTTACCGATACTATCCAAGGTGATTGAAAAGATTGTTCATCGTCAAGTTATGAAATTTCTAGACACAAACAAGCTCTTGTCAAAATACCAATATGGTTTCAGGCCCAAATTATCAACTGAATATGCGGCGACTATATTGTTGGATGACATACGGAGAAGCGTCGACAAGGATCAGCTCGTCGGAGCAGTCTTTGTTGACCTTAGTAAGGCGTTTGATACCATAAGCCACGCCATACTACTCGAAAAACTTGCGATTTACGGAATAAAAGATAACGAATTGGAATGGTTCAACGACTATCTGTTCTCCCGAAAGGCAGTGGTAGCATTCAACGGTTGTATCTCAGATGAGGAGAACTTGTTAACAGGAGTTCCACAAGGCTCAATACTTGGCCCTCTATTGTTTCTTATCTCTTTCAATGATGCTGTAGAAGTCATGGAGTATTCAAGCATTTTAAAATATGCAGATGATACTGTTTTGTATGTGGCAGGCAAAGAAATTGATTCAATTGAAAATAAACTATCGAAAGACATGGAAAATCTGTCAAAGTGGCTGAGATGCAATGAACTTATATTGAATCTAAAAAAAGGCAAGACAGAGTCGATACTATTTGGAACGGCACAATGAATTGCAAAACAGCAAAATGGGCCACTCAAAGTCACAATATCTCAGCCAACCCCAACGGTAATTAACAACACAACGGAATATAAATATCTTGGCGTCCTTGTGGATACCTCACTTAACTTGAACTCCCATTTCGACAAATGTTTCAAGCGTGCATCTGGTAGCTTACGACTTCTAGCAAAATTAAGGTCGTTCACGGACAATGCTACAGCTAGTACAATCTATCGTACTATGATTCTTCCAACATTTACTTACTGTGGTATACTGCAACTAAAGCTCACAAAAACGCAAATAAGCAGACTTTCCTCATTTCATTCTCGTTCATTGAAGATAGTCTATGGTGATGAAACAGCCGGTAAAGGGCTCATGTCAGTCATAAATGCGAATAAGATGAGAGCCTGCAAACTTGTGCGAAAATGCCTGGACAGAGATATCTGTGAACATTTTCAGAATTATTTTACTCTGATACAACATGAAAAGGAAACAAGAAGCAACAAATGCACTCTGCGATTACCTATTATTAAAAAAGAATATGCACGAAAATCGTTTCAATATATGGGCTCTAATGTGTACAATGAGCTACCTATAGACATACGTCGGACAAGGACACACAAAGAATTTGTTAAAAAACTTAAATTTGTTAAAAAATTTGTTAAAAAATTTGAAAATCATTTTGCAGGACAGTGACAAACATTATTTTATTTCAATGTGAAATTAGGTTTTATTAGGTATTATAGATCCTATTCTTGTAAGTTTTATCAATGTTTTTAATGTAATAAATTTTCTTTCAATATCATTTAAGGTCTAGGGCACAGGACACACAGTGATAACAGCGATGTTCTAATTGTTGAAGTGTTTATCCTGTATAAATATTCGTTTTATTATTATTATATTATTATTATATATAATTATTTTCAAGAAAATTACTCTAGTCTAGAATAACATTTCCTCTATCAGAATGCAAATGTATAGCAAATGTTTTATAAAGCTTCGTATTTGTTAGCTTGAGTCAACCGATAAACAGCTGTTATCCCAAAACGCCGTTATCCGAATCCATTATAAATAACATATAAAACTACTCAAAAAGACATACATAAGCACAGCTAATGAATTAATAAGAAGATTTCTTGCGCTGGCCAAATTTCTACAAAGATGAATTCATTCCCAAAGAAGAGATTGCTCTTTTCTAAGAAAAAGGGTCAGCTCCATTGTTTCTTTATTTGGAAAAT